TCTTTTCCATTAATTTTCCGATCGTTCCTATGGCAGCTATATGATATAGCAGTCCGATTTTTTAAATTATTAATTCGAAATTCAGAAATATTTAAAAAATAACATCCCCAAAAGTAGAAGGTAATATTTCAAAAAACACCGAAGCTAGAATTTTTTAAAGTTTTTTTTTCCGATTGTTCCTATGGGAGCTATAGGATATAGTTGTCCGATCCGGTCGGCTCCGACATATATACTACCTGCAATAGAAAGAAGACTTTTGGGAAAGTTTCATCCCGATAGCTCAAAAACTGAGAGACTAGTTTGCGTAGAAACAGACAGACGGACAGACGGACAGACGGACAGACGGACAGATGGACAGACGGACAGACGGACAGACGGACAGACGGACAGACGGACAGACGGACATGGCTAGATCGACTTGTCTAGTGATGCTGATCAAGAATATATATACTTTATGGGGTCGGAAACGCCTCCTTCACTGCGTTGCAAACTTCTGACTGAAATCATAATACCCTCTGCAAGGGTATAAAAATCGGATTCTAATTTAGGGTGATGTGATCTAAATGCTTTGAGGAAATCGATTTCACTAATAATATTTCCACATTCAACAGTATAAGTTTTAAAAAACATTATTTTATCTTGAAGGAGACAATCGTTGGTTTCAGTGTGGGATACATTGTTCACACTCTACGGGCAGGTCCTCGGCTTGGTCTTGGATTTCTAGGGGGCGCCGTGCGGGTGGCCGTCCAGGATCGGGGAATCGGCCCAGGAAAGCCGGCAGCGGATACGGAACAGGGAGCTCTCTTCTGGGGTCTCCACCCGGTCTTCTGTCCGCCTGTCGTGTCGAATGAGAAACACAGCAATTATGCAATTTGATAATACTTCATTCTCGGGTAATAAATATTAATTATTTTTTGCGAATGTGATTTCGTGTTTTGCGCCCTCTCGACCGCCCAACCGACCCACTGGGCGCTAGTTTACGGAGATTTATTGCCCGGCTGCCTGCAAATGAAATGAGACGGAGACGTCTTCCATTTCTACCCAATTCCTCTCTTACCCCTCAAGATATTAGGCGGGTACTCGTGCTTTTATGTCGGACATGTGGATTTGGTTATAATATCGTGTTACTGCTATCCACCTACAATTGCAATTGGACTCCTTGTGCCAAATATGAACGGAAAGAATATTCTTTTCGCGGGCATTAGTGTTCTGTGGTTTTTTTTTATATTTATGGCTAGCCACCCTTGAAATAGGAACATTTTTCTTAGTTTTTAGGTTAGGTCACTACAGTTATAATTTAACTTTTTTTTTAACGAATTATTCTGTATTATTTCGGTTTCAATACTCCAATTTATTGTTGAGAAAACAAAACATAATTCAAGTACACACAAAAAAATTTGCTTGCTAAAATTGACCAACAAAGATAGTTTAACTATTAAAATAGTTACGTGTACGTTGTTTTTGCTTTGGGTTTGTGTCTTTGCTAATTGTGTGTATTTTGTTGTTGTGGAATGACTATTTACTTAGTAGAATTGACCATTTTGCTGGTTGGGGCCTGTTTGACAATTATTACAGTTGATTGTACCAAGTTTTTTCTTGTGAAGAATTTGGGTCAATGGAATAGAACAATCCTAAACTCCTTTGGAGCATGATTTGGGCTAATATACACTTTACGTTAATTAATTTCTTTGTGTTGACTGGGTAGCCTGGCTAAGTCAACCATAGTAACCATCGAGCTTACTACACTTGCGGACAGAATCATGTATGTGACTTTATATGTGCGAATAGGTATACATATATATTCGTATTTTTACCCTGATCCCCTTCTCTACCTATACGTACATTGTCGTAGTCGTCTCTCGCAGGTTGGTTGACTTCCAGGCCGTTAGCTTTCATTTCATTTCGGCTCGTTCCATCAGAAATCTCTCGTGCATAAGGAACATTTTAATTTTGAAAGGGACTTTGACTCCGGTGGAAATTGCCATAACATCCACATATCTCACTTGCACACACACCGCCACCCAAGGAGCTTACAAAAATATAAATAAAAATAACAGAGCTAGGCAAAAGGAATGGAAAAGTTAAATTGAATTGTGTTGGCTGAGAATTCTTACATATATTCATTCGTACTACTTTGGTCACCGCGCTTCCTTCTTGGTCCTGTTTATCCTGCACTTGAAGTTTACGCAACTTTTTCAGTTGGTTTTAGGTATGTTTATACCCTTGCAGAGGGTATTATGATTTCAGTCAGAAGTTTGCAACGCAGTGAAGGAGACGTTTCCGACCCCATAAAGTATATATATTCTTGATCAGCATCACAAGACGAGTCGATCTAGCCATGTCCGTCTGTCCGTCTGTCCGTCTGTCCGTCCGTCTGTCCGTCTGTCCGTCTGTCCGTCTGTCTGTTTCTACGCAAACTAGTCTCTCAGTTTTTGAGCTATCGGGACAAAACTTTCGCAAAAGTCTTCTTTCTATTGCAGGTAGTATATATGTCGGAGCCGACCGGATCGGACAACTATATCTTATAGCTCCCATAGGAACAATCGGAAAAAAAAAACTTTAAAAAATTCTAGCTTCGGTGTTTTTTGAAATATTACCTTCTACTTTTGGGGATGTTATTTTTTAAATATTTCTGAATTTCGAATTAATTATTTAAAAAATCGGACTACTATATCATATAGCTGCCATAGGAACGATCGGAAAATTAATGGAAAAGTAATAGGAAATAAATTCTAGCTTCTTTGGTTTTATTGTATTATCTTCTAATCTAATATATGACTCTTTTTAAATATTTCCGAATTTCAATTTTAATTTAATCAAAATCGGACGACTATATCATACAGCTGCCATAGGAACGATCGGAAAATTAATGAGAAATATTAGAAAATTGAACATTTTTGCGATTTGTTAATTAATAGGAATGATCTGCAAGGGTATATAAGCTTCGGCTGGCCGAAGCTAGCTTCCTTTCTTGTTTTGTAGCTGCTGCCAGACACTATCAAAGTTGCTAGATGCTACCATTTTTTTCATATTATTTTTATTAATTCTCTGACCGTTCCAGCCAAAATGTATATATAGTCGTCCGATTTTTTAAAGTTTCTGAAATACAAAAAACAAAAGAGAACGCTATAGTTGGGTGCCCCCTATCAGATACCCGTTACTAAGCTAAAGGGAGTGCGAGGGAGATGGAGATATGAAACTTTGATTGCTAAGAACATTTAACATTTTAACAAACCCTCATTTACACTTTTACGAAGTGTTAAAAAAAGAGCATGACTTGCAGGGTTCGTTGCTTAGAATGAAGCAAACTTGGTCTTTATAGGCATTAGTAGAATCTGTAGGAAACATTTTGACCCTCTATTTTTAAAAATGTGGTTGCCAGAGCAACAGATTTAGTTTTTCAAACTAGCGCCACCATCTTTAATTTCGTATGTACATGTTACATATGTGTCTGTATCCTTTTGATAGCCAAAATAATTTCGCGTTCGTGGCGAAAGCAACGTGGTAATTTCCTACGCACCACATAACCCAAATGACCAACTTGTCGCCATTAAATGGGCTGCTGTCACGTTATTTGTCTGGCATTCTCTCGTCTTGATGGTTCGGTTCGGGTGCGGTCTAGTGTTTGGTCTTCTGTTTGGTTCCGGCTTTATGTTGGGCTGGGCTGTAGTAATCAATTTTAATATACCTCTCGAAGTAACGTAGAAAAGCTTGAGCCTATTGTTCTAGATTTTGTAAACAAGGTCATGTTGGTATTGATATCATGGCCATACGCGACCAGAAGATCAGTCTGTCAGTCTGCCATTTAGTCAACTATGTTGTGACGGGATTAAAAATAATCATGTAGTTTGCGGTTCGCACCCCAAATTCGATGCTCAGTTTATTTTATCTTTTTAATAGCAACGAATTAATTTAAAATATTATGTAAACGAAAGGTATGTTTTAGACAAATTAGAACAGCAAATATATTGATATCCTCTCCGCTTGCACATGAAGTAGCTTCAGTTGAAATTATATTAGTATTCGAAGACATATATATATTTATTGGTAGATTTTCTTTATACTTCCCAGGCACATTGGCGGGTGGAGAATACCTTACGACCATTATTTTTCTTCCCTTCTTGACCCTATAAATAATATAGTTAACGGTGAGACGTTAGACCTAATGCAGAACGTACTCGGGGTTTTTTGGAACCATACCCACTCCCAATTCTTTAGATAACCTCCACATGCAGTATACTTATCAATCAGTGATTGTTTAACTTTCTCGGTCTTTTGTCATCGTCGTTGTCTTCATAATATCCCTCTCGCATATATTTTCTGTATACTTGATATTTTTCGGATCCGATGAGGGATAATCTGTGTGGTCTATGTAGTAATTTGATTCGCCGTTTTCGTCTTCGGTTCCGTACAACAGTTGATCTGGTATATTCAATGTAGCTAGATACTGTCAGAGAAGAGTATTCAGTACGTATAAGCAATTAAAAATGTATGCTTGCTTTCGCATAATCATCACAATCTTTGCTTAGTTTTTTGGACTAAGTTAATTTTGGAATACCTTCGAGTTCTCTCTCGATATTGTGATCTTTCAAAAGAGAGTTCACTGTCACAACCTTTCTTGAACACAAACTGTTGAGCTGCAACGAAAGAATTACCTCCAAAACAGCCGAAAGTAGGAGGAAAATGTTATTCTGATACATGTTTATGAAATTTAATGGAAACTGTGAAAGGTGTCCACAGGTAGTGACATATTTTTGAAAAGCTTATATGGGACGTTCCATATCAACCCGGCCACCCCCCTTTTTTTTAGAGACTAGTTTGCGTAGGAACGGATAGCCAGACGGACATTTCTAGATCGACTTGCCTGAAGGCCATTGTTCACATAGTACTCGTGTTTTAACACTTATTCTTTATTCTTGAGAAAATGTAGTTAAAGTACGCGCCACATAAATTTATTAATTACCGTTAGATAAACTATACATTTTCGTTTTAATTTTGTACTACACAAAATTGAGAATAAAAAGAAAGCAATTTAGTATAATTATGTTTAAATCCTTTCCGCACGCGCTTGAGGGCGTCGTGGTTTCTGCTTCGGGAGTAGGTTCGGTTGGTAGATTTTCTTTATACTTTCCAGGCACATTTCCGGGTGGGGAATACCTTACGACCATTATTTTCCTGCCATTTTTATTCCTACAATTAAATTTGTTACTTGAATGACATTAGTCAGAATCTAGTACTTACGTAGGGTATTTTGGAGCAATACCCACTCCCATTTTTTTAGATGACCTCCACATGAGTGCAGTATATTTATCAGCCAGTGATTTAACATTTTCGTCCTTGTTTCCTTTTAATGTCCTGTCGTAACAAGTTCCCCCATTGAGACCCCAGTAACTAACGCAAGACAGTTCTTCAAACTCGCATATGTTTTCTGTATACCTGATTTTCTTTGGGTCCGATAAAGGATAACCTGTTTGATCAAAAAAAAAATCCGCACTGAGATTTTCTTCAAATAATGTTTGATTTGAGATATCCAAAGTAGCTAAATGCTGAAAAAGAAGAGTATTTAGTGCAATTAAATAAAATTATTAAATACTTTTGCGTAAGCTTCACATTCTTTGCTCAGTTTTTTAGATAAGGATAACTCCGGGAAGTCTTTTATGGTTCTAAAGTAATTGTGATCCTCCAAAACGGAGTTCACGGTCACATCTGGCAAACGTGTACTGCTTAGCTGAAATAGAAATACAATTTATAAACGGCCAAAGCTTTAATTTTGTTATACCTCAAGAACAGCTAGAAATAGAGGGACAATTGTACACCAAAACATATTTTCTGAAATTAAACTGAAACTTTAAGAAGTTTAGACAGGAGATGAAACTTATTTTAAAAAGCATTCTATGGTATCGTAAGGAGTGCGCGTGCTTATCATAACAAACTTTTTAACTGATTACAGATCTTGAGGTTCTACGACAAAAGAATGGCATATACGTTATATGTTAAGACCTTCAAGAATCATCCGTCTTCAGAAATTGGCTAACAATTAGGATTTAGTACGTACATTGTACGTATGGGTCTTTATTTTTTTGATAGCCAAAATAATAACAAAAAAAATTTTTTGTTACATACTTTTTAAATACCCAATTTTATTTCATGATCCACCCGAGTGGGGGACTTATCACATATATACCCCCGTGGATCCGGGCATGACCATACGTCGACACGACCAGCCGGAATTAAACAAAAAGGTAAATTCTCTAATTTGTGGGTGGGGTTTCATTTGGCAACCCCCGCTGCTCAGAAAAATGTTACCAATAGTCGTTAAATTTATACATAACTGCAACAATTTTAAATCACCAGAAACAAAAAGCATCTAGAGTGCGGCTGGCACCCCAACTTCGATGGAGGATAAGCCGAATCGAGATTGTTTTTATACTTTTAATGGCATACTAAATCAATTTAAAATATTATGTAAACGAAAGGTGGGTATTAGACAACTTAGTAATACAGCAAATATATTGAAATCCTTTCCGATTTCACATGAGGTTGTAGTACCTTCAATTTTACCAGTTCCATCAGGCTCAAGTTCTTCTTGTATTGGTAGATTTTCATCATACTTCCCAGGTACATTGCCGGGTGGAGAATACCTTACGACCATTATTTTTCTTCCATCCTTAACCCTGTAAATGAATTAGTTAATGGGGAGTAATTTGACCTAAGGCGGTACGTACGTGGGGTTCTTTGGAGCAAAACCCACTCCCAGTTCTTTAGATGACCTCCACATAAGTGCAGTATACTTATCAGTCAGTGATTGTTTAGCTTTCCTTTTCTCTTTATTATAGTATTCTGGATTATCTGGTAAAGGGGGTCCCTCTTCATACCAATATTTTCCCTGATAATACCAACTTGAAAAACAGGATTCATCGTAAAACTCGCATATATTTTCTGTATACTTGATCTTATTCGGATCCGATAAGGGATAAACCGTGTGATCTACATAGGAAAAAGGAAATTCAGTGGCGTATTCCATTAAATAGTCTCGGTCTATAGTATCGAGTAACTCTTGATCTGGAATGTTCAATGTAGCTAGATACTGTGAGAGAAGAGTATTTAGTACGTATAAGCAGTTTAAAATTTCCTCTTACTTTCGCATAATCTTCACAATCTTTGCTTAGTTTTTTGGACAAAGTTAATGATGGCATGCCTCCAAATTCTCTCTCGAAGTTGTGTTCTTTCAAAATAGAGTTCACAGTCACACCATTTTGTGAGCACAAACAGTTGAGCTGAAACGAAAGAATTACCTCAAAAACAGCCAGAAAAAACAGGAAAATTGTATTCCGATACATGTTTTTCGAAATTTAATGGAAACTGTGAAAGGTGTCCACAGGTAGTGGCATATTTTAGATAAGCTCCTATGTGATTACTGGTATTATTCTGACGTGTCTTTTTCAAGTCTTTAAAATGGTTAAGACTCGGAACAGATCGAAAAAGCTGGAAAAAAAACACAATCGCATACGAACTTTTTTATAAATTGGCTGGCACGCAATGGCTGGATTACTAACTGCAGTTGTGATGAACGCAAATGATTGGTCATCAGCCCTATTGATTCGCCTAAATTAAATAAAGTGTGCAACTTTTAATGCATAAGTATTGATCCAAAACCATCCCAAGTTTCGGCAGTACATTTATGCCTACTTAAAAGACAAGAAGAATAAATGCAATAAAATGAATAGATTTCATCAGACCGAGTTCTAATTCCAGCTTCGCTTGGTATGTCAGTGATGTGTCGTTAAACTGTGAAAGACCGTAAAAAAGGCGAACCATAAAAAATTGAGGGAATAGCGAATGGCAGAAGCTCCAAGCGATTGCCTGCCACAAATGAACGGGGCGCAGGCGAGTAAATCATTTTACAATGGGCCAAAGCCAAAGGCCGCCAACGGCTTTATGGCTCTCATGAAGGACAATCAAGTAATAGGCGGCGATTTTTACGATGACAGAGAACTACATAATAAAAGATATATCAGCTACTGTCCGTCCTCCGCCCATCGGAGCGGTTAAAAGCGGCTCCGGAATTCAACAAGCTCTGCCTAATGCCGAAATCGTTACATTTGGCACGCCAATGTCGGCGATGCAGGCTGGCAATCACTCCTCCGGTATTTTCGATTCTCCATCCGGGTTTTCCTGCCGGTGTGTGTTTTTGCCCCTCCTCGTCAGTATTTCGAAATTGACGCACAACACGCGAACCCATAAACCCTGTCAGTCCTGAAACAATATGCATAGAATAAGTCCTCAAAATCACACGCCATTGCGAATTACTTTTGGAAATATATTTATCCTAGAGCTTGACATAAAATATTTATAAATCTAATATTTAATTAAATTTGGAACTGTATAATAATAACAGTTTTAAATCTTACTCAGATGATACACTCACAAAAAGTTCTTTCTCGCCTTTAAATCGCCAGCCTATGGAAATGGAAAACGCATTTTTTTGTTTTTGGAAAATTTGGCATTAAAATCTATAAACTTTCTATATTTAAAGGTAATTTTACTAAAAACAAGAAAAACTTTTGTCCATTTTCAAAGGCTGACAATTCACAGAAGAGATTTCTAAACTTTAGAAAGACATTTTTATTAGTGTAAAAGCGGCATCTTGGTAGATTTATTATGTTCGATGACACATTTTCAGTACCCAATTTTATACTGTTTGAATTATTAAAAATAATTAAATGGATATCAACAAAGATACTATAGTTTTTACCCATAGTTTTTACCCAAATTAAAAATAAATTTGCTTAATGATAACGAAGTAGCATTGATTTTAAATGAACTTTTCAATTTGCCATTTGGCTGGACTGAAAGGCTTTAGGGTTCTTGGTTTCGGGGGAGAACCCTTGGCCGACTTGATTGACAGTAATGACATTTTCACGATTCGCCGGGCGGAAAACACTGAAAAGCAGCGCGCTAGCACGGCAACCGACAGCCAGCAGTCAATAATAAAAATTGCATGTTGAAAACACATTTGGGATTCCGAGAGTCACACACAGTCATTCTGTTGCCAGTCGGTCTCCGTGTCCTTCTCCGCTTCGTCTCCCCATCCGCATCCTTATCCATATCCATATCCATCGCAGCGGAAGCAACAGCAAACGGAGCGGAGCGGTTGACACCCCGGGCCCCATGGAATCGAAACTCACGAACCCTTTTAGTCGGGGGATTCCAGTTAATTTATTTTCGGTTAATTTCTTTCGTTAGTTATGTTAGTGCCGCCTGCTTTCCCGGGAAAACCCATGGCCACTCATTTATTGCACATTGGCAGGAACTTTCTGATTTGCTTTACTAGAGTGAGCCAGAAAAACCGGGAAAGGAATAACAGGTATTACTTATGGGATTACTTATGAACGGAGTGTATATTTAACTAAATATCAAAATGTACCTACAACACTCCAAAATATTTATTAATCAAAATAATCAGTTACATTTTTTTTTACAATTTCTTAACTTTTTATAAATACTCATCAATATTTTTTGACAATATACATTTATCTGTAATATTATCATTAACATTTTCAAGCTAATAAGGTATAGTTTAAGAGTAGATAAGGCTTATTTAAGCTTCGTATGTTTATTGTCAATTGCAATAAAGCAGAAAAGAAGCCAGAAATATAAAATGAGCTGGCTATGTCAGGGACCCCTGAAGAAAATCAAGTAAGGCATAAAAAGAACGGAAAATATATATTAGCAATAATTCGAAGCATACATTTTTTTATTGCCGCTCGCAATCATTTAATCATCTCGAGTCATCAGTTCACTCTGGCCAGAATGCTGTGGGGATGGGCTGTAGTGCGCGGTGCGGTGGGCTGCGATTGGGTGGTGCGAGTGTAGAGTGGTGCGGAGCTCTCCGGCGAAGGAGCCAGGGACCAGGCAGTGGGAATAGCAAATTTCGTCGCGCTTCCCCATCGACCATTTGACACATGTGTCACTTGCAACCGTTCCGCTTTTCAGCGGAGTGATAGTGCTGTCACATCAGCAGTTTTCCAGTCAGATCTTTATATTGAAAATTGTAGTGCTTAATTTAATTTTCCAAAAACTCATTGATTTTTTCCCGCCTGAGTTATAAGTATAGCTCAATCAGGAAAAAGTTTAAATAATAAAATGTTTCCGTAAGCGAATACGATTATTTCAGCAATTATATCATAAATGCTGAGTAAATTCTCGAAAGCATACTATGAAAATATCTTGGAAAAATGCATTTAAAATTTATAAGCCATTATTTTTAAGTTGTAGGAAACGATATATATTTTTTAGGCCACTGAATTCAAATATTGCTAGCCAAAGATCGGCGACAGCACTGGCGACTGGGAATGGACTCCGAATGGGCCTGTGAGTGCGACTGGAGCTGTCGCTGAGCCTTCGGTTGACAGCTGTCAGTGTCAGTTTACATAATTTATAGATTTCAGCGCATAAAAAAGTCATAAAATTTACAATGTTGCTTTCAACAAAAACACATTCGGGCGATTCTTCTGATGCCTTATTTTTATGAGGCAAGACATCAATTTTCGCACAGCACAGTCTAGCCTGCCTATAGCCACTACACACACACACACAACTACGCCAGCCCATTTATATTTCTCAATTTTCCATTCTTCGAGGCAGGAGGAAAAGATTGTTTGTATTGCCATTGGCATTGCCATTCGAAATGCTTTTGATTTATTTGTATTTATGTGATTCCTTTCTCATATTCAGCTCCAGCGATAAATTCTCGCACTCAACAAAATACATAAACGATTTATAGTTGCAAAAAGCGGGCCAAACAATAACTAACAAAGCGCAGCGGCAGTGGCAACAATGGATACACGGATACGACGACCCAAAAGGAGCTCGAATTGAAAAGAAGAAAGGATTTCGATGTTAAATCCCTCAACGCAGCATAAATCTTTAATGGAAAACCTTTCGCACTTTTAGCTGCTCGATGTGATTAAGCCGTGGCGGAAAATACTGGAGTTTTTATGCGGAATAATGAAAATATCATGGATGCTTTTAAGTCTAAAAGTCAATAACAACATAGTCCTCGAATAAATGTTAAAATGTATTGGTATAGATAGATATGTGCCTGTTTACGTACGTACGTATATTATTATTATACCTGTTAAATATTATTCTCCCGAATGGATAAATAGGAATTCTGATTGAGCACAAGTTTTATTTAATCAAATAATGAATACATTTATTTGAATTTTATATCATGTTACCCTTTGGTAATTGTCAGCAAGTTTCCCCGCGGTTCTATAAATTCTTATAAATTGTAATAATACATGGTTTCTCCTAGTTAATTTAAATATTTATATTTTCATCTTCGAAACTGCAAAAGAAATTAAAGGTGGCGGGGAATTTTCTGTACAGGTTTACAGGTCAAAACATATAAAGCCCTGTCAAGTCCAGTGAAAAATTTGTCGAACAGACGCATTATAAAGAATCGGAGATTTAGCAATTAAATCAGTAAGATAGTTGTTAAATGCGCGGCTGGTGACCTAACTCATACGATTTTTCAGAATCGAAGTCAAGATGCCGGAAGAGGTTGCTGAAAAGGATAGGCCGGCATATTCGTTCTTCTTCGGATCGATGGGGGCGGCATCGGCCATTATCTTTTCGGCCCTGGGAGCAGCATATGGAACGGCCAAGTCGGGCACCGGAATCGCGGCCATGGCCGTGATGCGACCCGAACTGATCATGAAGTCGATCATTCCGGTGGTGATGGCCGGCATTATAGCGATCTACGGGCTGGTCGTCTCGGTGCTGATTGCCGGATCGCTTTCGGACACCTATACCATCCGCAAGGGGTATATCCACCTGGCCGCCGGACTATCCGTTGGATTTGCCGGTCTGGCGGCCGGCTTTGCCATCGGCATTGTCGGAGATGCCGGAGTGCGGGGCACCGCCCAGCAGCCACGCCTCTTTGTGGGCATGATCCTCATTCTGATCTTCGCCGAGGTCCTGGGGCTCTATGGCCTGATCGTCGCCATTTACCTGTACACCAAGTAGAGGATCATATATGCATAAATTAAAACAATAATAAAATAATTTATAGCATACAGTTTCTATTCTTAAAAATAGTTCTGAGAGATCAACAGAAAAATAACCCTTTTTGAAATATTTCGTGCACTTTGGTTAAAGGGAACATTTTCATTAGAACTAAAGAAATATCATATACTCCCCAATTTAAAACGATGTGTGAATTAACAGAGGGAAACATACAAATAAATAGTTCCAAAATATTTTAAAGAGTTTTTGGAAAAATGTAGGATCTATACCTACCTGTCCTCTTTGCAACCAGCAATCAAGAATCTAATCTTCCCCACTCGCGACTCACAATTGCCGCCTGTGACAAATCTGTGCCAACTTAACAATCACATCACACGAACGCAAAGCTACTGACAAAGTTACAAGCTCCCTTAAGGAATATGCGGAATATGTATTCAAAATGCAAAGCAGCCGAGTTGGGGCCACAAATAAAAACGCCATGGAAAAAGGGGGGGCACTCGAAGCCCCAGCACCGCAAACAATTCCGTCCCTTCTCCTCAGCGGTGGCAACAAATTTCCATTTTGGGGGAACCGAAACAACAGCATTGCTGAGGTGGGGCACTTTCGAAAGTTTCGCCCTTTTAAGCTCGATAGTCGAGTAGGGCTCATATTTTCCAATTTGTTTAATTGAAACAAGTGGAGGGTAACGGTAACAGCGTTGAAAGGCAATGGGGAAAACCATTCAAAGTGAATAGGCAACCGCAGCTCCGATTTTCAATACCAAGAACGGCTTTTGCGGTCCTTCGAGGTATTAGAATTCAGAAACACCTATAAGGCGAGAAACACTTTTGTAAATGTGTAAACTTTTTTTAAGAAATGGTCAAAACAGTCTCACACACAAATAAAAACACGTGAGCTTCAAATCGATATGCGCATGGTAAATTACTGGTATTGCATACGGATACCTTTCTTACCGAAATCTCTTTCCCTCTGGATAGCTCTTAAAGTTACATGAGTGGGAGGGAGAAAAACACATTCAACACATTTCGAGCATATCGAATTGAGATGCCCGCATATCAAGTCAAAATTAAAACCACATAGCATCAAATTGATCATCGTTTCATATCTGCTTTTTTTTGGACGCAAAGTAAATTTTTTTTTTTTTACAAAAAAGTGATTAAAAATTGACTTGACAACTATTTAATTTGTACAATAATTTTGTTTTATTTTAAACTTAAAGTTTAGTTAAGATAGGTTGGGTCATTAGACAGTTTTAAAAATATGTATAATATTCATTACACATTATAATCATAGGCAGTCAATTAGAGTAGAGAAAAGGATTCATTTCAAGTTATTTTGCATATTTTACACCCAATCAAAATGAAATATCTTTTCAATCCTTAATAAGCTGTCACTAACAGTCTAGGAAAGCACTGATTTTTCCTTCAATCTTCCGTATACATCGATTATTTTTTGAGAACTGAGATCCGAACAAGGCAAGATGGTTACCGCTGCAGGGGAGGAAGAGGCCCCGTACGCCATTTTCTTGGGATGTTCGGGGGCTGCTATCGCGATCATATTCACAACTCTGGGAGCTTCTTACGGGACTGCTGTCTCCGGCGTTGGCATTGCCAGTATGGCAGTGAACCGACCCGAAATTATCATGAGGTCCATTATACCGGTCGTCATGGCCGGGATTATTGCGATCTACGGCTTGGTGGTTTCGGTGCTGATAGCCGGATCGATTGGCGATGACTACACAGTGCAAACGAGCTTTGTTCATCTGGGCGCCGGCTTGTCCGTAGGACTGCCTGGACTTTCGGCCGGGATAGCCATTGGAATTGCCGGAGATGCCGGAGTTCGCGGAACCGCCGAGCAGCCACGCCTCTTCGTGGGCATGATCCTGATCCTGATCTTCGCCGAGGTGCTGGCTCTATACGGCCTCATCGTGGCCATCTATTTGTACACTAAACTCTAAAATGCTTGCATTATGTCAGCGTTAATAATTGTCAAATATCACGCACGAATTGAAAAACGGTATTAAAATGTTTGATTTAAAATATTGTTTTTTTTTTTTTGTGAAACAGGCTTTAAAAATTATAAAAGAAAATGTGAAAATTGCATAATTTTAATTGCATTAAAGTGAAAATAATTTAATAATTTACAAGAACATAAGGGAAAGCTAGATAAATACTCGAAAATAAATTCAATTTAAATATTCATTATACTCTATGAGTAACATTATACATTATACTCGTGAAAAAATAGTTCTCCACTAATAGGTATTACTTCGTTTTTATGATCTAATTTATTCAAAGTAGTAAAATACCTTACAAATGTAACCCCCAAAATACACTGAATAAAGTCTCTAGCCAAACTCCGTTTTGTTGTTCTAATTTTGTACCACTACAAATTCGAAAGTTATACTAATATCTGTATTAAGCAATTAAGTAGAAATACAATTATGTTCAAATCCTTGCCGAATGCGCTTGACGGTGTGGGCGTCGTTGTGTTTACAGGTTTTGGAGTAGGACTGGTTGGCATATTTAAATCATACAAGTAAGGGTCACTGCCGGGTGGAGAATACCTTACCACCATAATTTTTCTCCCATTTTTATTTCTGTAAATAAAATTGTTAACATAATGACATTTGATAGAATTCCGTACTTACGCAGGATCTTTGGGAGCAATACCCACTCCCAGAGTTTTAGATGACCTCCATACAATTGCAGTATATTTTTTTTTCAGCCACCTTTCCATTTTTTTGTATCTTTTGGCAGCATCATCATCTTCATCATCATCATATATATAATACCACCCATTATAGATTTTGCGTCCATTGTCATACCAGTACTTAACACAAGATACATCTTGAAACTCGCATATGGATTCTGTATACTCATTGCGTGCACCGGCGGATAAAGGATATTTTATGTGATCAAAAACACTCCATATCACAGCATTAGCATCCTCAAGTAGATTGTCGTCTCGGATATTCAAAGTAGCTAAATGCTGTGTGAAAAGTTTATTTAGTGCATATATGTAGGATATAAGGATTATTGAATACTTTTGCATAATCTTCACAATCTTTGCTTAGTTCTTTAGACAAGGATAGCTTCGGCATGTCATTAATATTTCTGTAATAATTGTGTTGCTCCAAAACTGAGTTCGCGGTTACAGCTTTTCCTAAACATTGACGATTCAACTGAAATAAAAAAGGTTGTGTTTTGTTATAATTATGTTATGTATCTTATACCCCAAGAACAGCTAAAAATAGAAGGAAAATTGTAAAGGGATTCATATTTTTTGAAATTAAACTGAAATTTTGAGAATATTTTACAGGGAAAAGAACTTAATTTTATAAGCTTACTAAGTTATTCTAAGGACTGATTAGTAATCAGTGATTACTGATTACATATCAGCGATGACTGATATTATATTGTACAATTTTCTTTTTATATTCCCCATAATATTTAAGGTTTTTAGTTTTTCTGAGTTTTTAAAACAAGCATAATTTTGGAGTGGCATTTTTCTTTCTGTAAGAGATAAGAAGTAAGGTCAAAAGTGCATCCAAACTGTTATGCCTAAAAATAACGCTGGAAACCTGTAAAATGCTTTTACTTTACTTTAGTCAAGACGTTTTAAAGATTAAATGGAAAATTATACCCCTAAGTTATTTGGTTTCAGCGTTAATTGAAGCAGACCATATCCATTTCATCAAACAGCAATCAAACCAATAGGGCGGGATGATATAAAAACCAATTTCTGTCGAAAGGTGTTGAAATGTAAAAAGGTATGCGTTTCCATTTACATTTCATTCGCAAGCAAATAATACGTTTTGTGTACGCACGTGTGACATTTTTGGCAACCTTCTGCGAATCGAAGTGTGTTTGCATAATAAATATGATAACACAAAATATCGATTCGATTTAACCGCAAATCCCTTGAGCCCCCAGACATCGAAAGTAATAAACGAAAATTTGCAATTTACTTACGGATTCGGAGGATTTATGGTTCACCTTCCTGCAGATAATTGTTTTCACTTCCTCTGCCATTCAATGAACTTTTAATGCTGAAATAACAGTAAATGCGTGAGGAGTGGGTGGGTGAGTGGGTGGGTGGTCTCAGGACCCGAAAACGGAAGCTGTACCGCCCACTTCCCATCGGCCAACTGACAAAGTGCTTAGCGAAATGGGTTTATTAAGTGCAAACACTTTGCACAAATGGCTGGCAAACAAAAATAAATATGTATTTAGGATTTAATGCTCGGTGCTCGGGAGGAATTGAATGTGTGGCAGGCGGCAGACTCCTCAAAGAATTAAATCTAAAGAACATTATTTTATGCAAAGCTGAGAGTAAAAAAAGTGGAAAACTTATCTAAAATATCAAAATGCATATTTCTGTGATTAATAATTCTTCGATTAATTCAACAAATAGAAAATGGCCTTTTATTTATTTGAGTAATGGTCAAGGAAATCGAATCAGTCTTGAACAAATGTGGCATGACCTCCGCCGAAATCAAATATAAATCAAGTAGCGGCTTGTCAAATCCGCAGACTTGCCCAAAAGCTGGCCTGTCCTACATCAAATGTACATCAAAATGAGGAACTTCTGTTGGAAGGAAGTTGGAGAAACCATTTGTAAGCTGGTTCGGGTTATGCTTGAGGGACGCCGATTTGTTATTGCCGAAAATGTGGTTTCCATTAAAGCCGCACACATCAATTGTGGTCAACGGGCGAAATGGCCAAAGGCCATTCGACTTTAATTTTAATGTGCCTGACAGATTTTCTCATTTCCCTCCCATTTGGCATCTTTATTCATTCATTCATTCATTCAAGCAAACACTCATTGACCAACTTGCTCGTTGTCAGCCATTTTGCTATCCCATCATCATTATGATCAGTTTTATATGATTGCGAGCCTTAATGTTTCTTTCTCGCAAAAGTTAGGTAGTACTGCTTCTGTGAAACAGTTTATTTTAGAATTTATTGCAATGCTTGAGTTCAGTTATGTAAAACTGGTAATAAAACTTTAGAACTTACTAAGTTTTAGAAAGGGTATTCATTTTTAGGAATGCTCCTTTCCAAGAGTAACTAAGATTCGACTTCTGAGTGACTTTTTCCCTCAATGGACTAATTTCATTTTCGTATTTCTGTGGCTGGGTATCCAATGATTTGGAAACAATTTATATATTGTGTATATGACCGGGGTTCGGGACTGGGGATGGTTATATTATGCTGTGCAACAAGGACATTTATTTCTTGCTGATTTCATTTTCGGATTCCGACCGACCCCAACCGCTGCTCTCAATAAATACGAAATAAACACTAAATGTGTAGTTGGTTGCCTTCGCTTTTCCGCCCTTCTCCTTTCCTTTTTTTTCCCTCTATATATAAATACATTTTTTTTTTTTTGCTGATTGAAGCTTTTCCTGTTGGCAACACCTCAGAGGGCTGACTTTTGTCCTTTGCCCATGGCATGTTTGTCCTTTGCCTTTCCGACTCCACGCCCCCGAGTTCCGAATTCCGAATACTGAATACTGAGTACTGAATCCTGAATCCCGGGTCCCACTCCCATTGCCAATTCCATTCCCTCTCCATTCATCAGCGCGTGCTTGTGTTGTGTTGTTTCCTTTGCATTGAATTATTTTCCTCCTGTCTCTCTGGCGTCGCACAATTTTCCCCCAGCCGCAGTTTTCCTCTGACCTCTGATATCGTCCGACTCGGTTTCCATATCTGTCGCTTTTCCTGGGCGTGTTGAAGCGATGTGTTAAATATCTGCCAAATGAAATCGCGATGGCAACCAGCAGGTGGGCGTCGGGCCTATTTTAGTTCAAGAAGCTAGACATTTGCCGAAAATCTCAGAAGTAATTCAAAAGCTAAAGGTCAAATTGAAGTGGAGTTTAATCATTACTATTTCATCTATTCCAAATCGAATGGAATAAATGGAAATTATAAAAATAATAATACTAATGGCTAAAAAAAATAGACATTCAAACACCAAAAAAACTTTTAATGAACCATGCATTTTTCTTGTCTGCAACAGTTTTTTGTTATAAATTATTATGACAACAATGAAATTTCAGTATCTTTTGTACAGGACTTAAGGAATTTTTATTTTGTCCCAGGATTACACAATGGAAAAGGTCAACAGAAAGAAAGTTCTTCTCTCAGCAAAAAGTGAAAAGGCTGCTCCTAATCGAAAAAATATAGAAAGATTTATTATTAACAATAAGAGAACCAAATAATTTATTTAACTTTGCATCTTTTTTTATTTATTTTTTGAGTCTAAATAAAAACCCTAAGATAATTAAGAAATTCAGTTATATTAAAAATATTTTGAACGAGGTATTTTAACATATAATTTTTAAGTTAGGTAAATTTTCTTTTCTTTTTTCTTAACTTACTTTTCGTTACCAAACTGCTATGTCTTTAACCATATGGAGCTTAATTTGCAGCCAGTAAAGACAGTTGGTGAGAGTCAATCCCAGACAATTCGCTCAAAATCAAATTTATTTGCCAACCACACAGAAATTATGGTACGAGGGAGTCTCACATGTGCGTTTTATTGCATTCGGTATGCGTTCGAATTGCGTGGCTCCATCCGGATGGAGAACCCCAAAGCGCCGAGTCCCGAACCCCTCTATAACTATTGAGGTTGTCAACGCCCCACAATCTCCGGCAGACAATGGGTGGATGGCTTTTGTACGTTCGAGTATTTTTATTCATTCTATTCCGCTGGCTTTTTATTTTATTTATTTATTTCGCTCGCCACTCGTCCACCCTCCGTCGCATTTGAGCAAAAATAAGATTTTTATTTTATGCTCGCAGTATGTTGTAAATCTTGTCGCTGCTGCTGATGAAACGAAACGAAATTAAGAATTTTTTTTATTTCTCCTTCGCAATTTCAGTAATAAAAGAAATGCCAACCGGGATGACGGCGAGGACAGGACACTACGTCGGTTTCTAGGCGAGGCGATGCGGGGCGAATGCCTTCCTGCCCATCCCGACATTCATTATGAAATCATTTGGTATTTATTATTTCGTTTATGTGGTTCCATTTGAGATATTGCCTTCATTTGCCGCGTTGTTAGTGGCGACCGTTGCGGAAGCTGCCAGCAGGAATCATGCCTCCGAGAATTCGATTCCTTAAAGACATGAATAAAATTATTAGAATATATTTTTTAATAGATTTTATAATGCGCATACCGCACAAAAAATAGAATAATGGTATCTTATATTTTTAAATATTTACTATATTAAGATCTTTTTGATTCTTTCTAATAAGCTTTACATCCTATTATCTTTTACTTCAAATTTCAATTTTATTTTATTTCATTTTGGTATTCTTTATTTCACTTAATTAATTTATTTTCTTTGGAATACCTGCTGAAACGATTTGCTAAGTGTAGTGTACCGTGAATGAACAACATTCTGATGTTCAAATGCTTACTTTCGAATCGGATGTTAATTCAGGGAAACTACGGGGTTATCGTGCCTACACAGGGGAATTCCCCTCCACCTTCTCCCACATCAATCTTATGAAATCCCGCATTCCCTGCTCTTAACCCTTTTCCTCGTCCATTAACCCACATTGTAGCGCCCCACTATGCGCCGGGATCAGTCTAAATATTTTTGTGTAAACACGAAAGTTCGACCAAGGGCTCCACCGTTCAACCCCCCCACTAAACCACCCACAACCCCATCTACTGCCCAAATGGGTTGTGGTGGGCGGACACAGTGCTCGGTAATTGTGTGCGCCTTTGTTGCCGTTGCAGCTTTTGCACTTTACTTCCTTCTTCGGGCTTTGTTTTTCGCACAGTGAGCAGAATAAGTGTACGACCCTGCAGCTGGGTGGGATTTTGCAGTGATGCCCATTCTGCCAGGGAAATGTGTAGATATAGGAACTGGAATTTTCTTTGTTCCCACAGTATTTTATTTGTTAATTTTTAAAAATTATATAATTATAATAATTTGAGTTTATTTATTAAAAACAAAACTTCATTATTGGTAAGTCATTTAATAAACATTTTGGGTTCTTAAAATATTGTGAATCAAAAACACTTTTTAATGCTGCTTTTATCATTAACCACTTGGGTTTTCATCACTATAATTTATGTAATAAAGGTCCTATTGTTGATTTATTTCAAAAATTTGTACAAATACGTTAGCATAGTGGCTCGTAGCAATCTTTCCATTTTATGGGCTTTCTAGCAGACCGCTGGCATCACTGGTTGACGGATCCGGGTGTTTGAACGGCGGACAGCTTCGGCTTGCTACTTGTCCGGACTTTGCTTGCTTGCTTTCCGTTTTGTTGGCGCTCCCTTTGTTGCTGCCTTACACAATGACTTAAGCTGAAATGTCAATTGGATGTGCATGGCACGACCAGAATCATCGGGATCTGGAATGGGAGCAGGAGCAGGACCTCGACGAGGACCACGACCAGGCCCAGAAATGAGAATGATGAAAATACACCCCCGGGGTAAACGACAAACGTAACGCTGAAAAAGTGCTTGTGACAGCAGCCTGGACTCATTCCAGCTTCCTCCATCTGGAATGGGAGCCAAAGCACAGAAAATCCTTTCTTGGGCTAATAGAATTCAAACGCATGAAGGCTTTGAATAGGTTCGTTTTCGAAGGACGACGCATTGACGCTGAGCTTCTGGCCATTTTCCGAGCAGAAAGTGGTCGGAGTAGGAAAGTGAAAGTACGTGACATTACACTGCCCTCTGAAGGCGAGGGTTTCTAGGAAAACCGTGTCAGAATAAAGTCAATTCGGTAAATAAATATAACAAATATAACAAAAAATAGATAATAATCTTATACTAATCAGTGAAATTTTAAACCCATCCCTATATGAAAGGGATAAGTTTTCTTAGATATAAAATAATTTTTAAACTTTCAAGACATTCAAAAGTTCTATTCCAAAGAACTCTGTTATCTTGAAATAATATTTCATAAAACCTTGATTAAATTTCACGACATTCCTATAACAATGGTCAAGGCAAAAGTCCTTAAAAATAAAGCTAAATGATGTGGTATTTTTAGAACCACCCTCTCTCGTTTCGGAGGAGGTGTCCTCGACGTGGCCAGTGCAGGTCGGCAACTGAAGGGAAGGACTTCAGTGGAGCCATCCTGTGTATAGTTTGTTTCATAAGTTTTGCAAAAACCATTAACGACGCTCCACAGCTTCCCCCGTCCAAGGCTCCCTCCTCCGGCTTCTTCGTCCTCTAAATTGAAAAGAAAAAAGTGAAAAGCTGAAAACTTTTAAAAGTTTGAATTCTCAGCGCTTTCTTTTCGGACCTCCTGGATACTTTGTGGGCGGCTTGGCGCTGCTCATTTGGTCAGCAGCACGCGTTCAGGGGCTTGTCCACTTCTTGACGTGACTCAAACCTGGGGAAAATTGGCAAAAAAGGAATTCGTTTTCTCGTCTCAGCATTTTCTGGCCCAGCTAATGGCTGTGAAAATGACTAAGTGAATTTCCATCAAGAAGAGGGAGGGAGATTCTGAGTTCTGCAAGGGTCAGGGGTCACTAATGGCATTAAACTAAGGCAACGTAAAATTTAAATTTTACTGTGAAAATTAAATTAATAAATGTATTCTATTAGTGAGAATTGTTGTTAACTTTCAATATTTTTATAACAAGAAATCCCAACTAAGCGTCACTCGATGGTTGTTAACCTCAAAGAATAGTTTGCTATTATCTGCTTGGCAAAATTGTCCCTGTTCCTATGCGGTCATATAGACATAATGCCATTACCTAGTCGATAATAAGAGAGGGTGTCTTGACAACTGTGGGAACCTGGCAAAATGGTACATGCACTTAATTCCCGACCCAGCTAAATAATGAAACGGATTGCGGTTCGGGCCTCTGTTTGTCTCCGTCATGGGGAATGGATAATATGTAATGGAGTGGACGGTCGGTGCTGTTTGATTTCTGCATTATTCAGGTAAAGGGCTCAATTAAATGGGCGTCGCGGTCGTTCTACCGCATTGTCATTAGCTTCTTGCTCTGTTTGCATTTCCAAGTGAATATCGATTCGCTAAGACACCAAAGAATTGCTAAACTTCAAGTATGCTTATATAAGAATAGAAAAATCCAGTATACAAACTAGAGCCCGGCATGAATGGATTTAATTAATTATTTTGCATTTTTTGTTTTATATGAATGAATTAATTTGAATATTGAGTTTAATAGAATTGAATGAATTTGAATTTTGAGTTTAAAAGAATTGACAATTTCTTTAGAAGAAGAAAGGGCTATAATTTTCTGATTAAATCTGCCTGAATATTATTTAGTTTAAATTGATTTGTTAAAATTTGTCCACTTCCAAATTATTCATTCATTCATTCAATTCGAAATGAATTAGAAAAACATTCAATTTATTTCACATAGAATTGAATTAAACAAATCAGAAATTTCATGGCATACTATGATAAAACAAATATTGAATGATTCACGCAGGGCTCTAATACAAACTTAAGGATATTTAAGGTAAAAATATTCCAGCTCCCGAAGGGAATCACAATTTTAGCCCGAAAGTAGTTTATTTAAATGTCCCCAGCTCGCATTCCGAATTATTAAAATAAATTTGTAATTCAAAAAGCTTGCAATAAATTTGGACGCCCGCAAGGACATCGCTCCAGGATTGCCGCAAGCTGCGAAACAGCCAAATATAAATAGGTTGTGGGTGGTGACAGGGGGCGGATTCGTGGGGTTAGTCCCGGCTGGAGGCGGTGGTTCGGGTAACCGGGCCGCTGATGTGTGCTTGTCGTCGGCACGGCAAAAGTACTTGAAGAATTACACACAATGCATGCATTATTCATGCTTACTTCAGAATTTGCGTTACAAAGTAAAAAATGTTGTAAGGACACTTGTGCCAGGCCAGGCAAGTCCTCGTGAGAAGGCAAGCAATTCCGGCGAATGTGGAGAGCGGCCAAAACACGAAGAGGAAGTGTGAATGAGAAAGCCGGGCTAAGGAGCCCTTGTCGCCCCAAAAGGAAAAGTGCAAAATATTCGAGGTAAGCGCAAAGCGCACAGACCGCTGATAGATTAGAGTTGGTGGTCGTTGGGCTTGAGGTACACTTGAAAAACAGCTATGATCGAACAAAAAAAATATAAAAAGGGGTTTACAAGTATTTTTTTTTAATTTTTCTTTATTTTAAAAATTTACAGAAATACATAAGCAATGTTTAAATATATTAGAGTTGATAGATTAGAGTTGGGGGTCGTTGGGTTCTTCGAGTTACACTTGAAAAACAGCTATGACTTAAAAAAAAATTTAAAAAATAGGTCTATTAATATTTATTTAAATTTTTGTTTATTTTAAAAATTGACGAAAATAAGCAATATTTAAAATATAATAAAAGGATTTCCATTCTGCTTCACTGCGTTAAAAAAAAAACTATTTAAATCGATCAACATGCTAAAAATCTAAGACGTGCAATTAATTAATTTAAAAATCCCCAGAATCAGTCGCAAATTTCGCTATGATCAACACGCTCGATCCCATCCAGATTCCGCTCTTCGTCATCGCTGTAATCGCTGCTGTGTGGCAAGTCGACTTTCTGCTGCACATATCCTCTATTGTTTAGGAAACGCTTAAAGCCAGTTTGCTTCAACTTATGGTAGTTCTCCATTTTCGATAGCATATCGTGGTTGGGCTTCAGGAAGCGGTACTCGCCAAAGTCCAGCGGATCAACGAAGGCCAACGACTTTACGACGCTGATGTACACGGTGCGTCCCACTCGGTGATGGCGAAGTGAGGTATATGGAAACTTCAGGGTCAGAACAAACTGATGAATCAAGTCGGAGAACTTCGAGGTGGCCTTAAAGAAAATCTGCACTCCCACCAGCACAGCCTTGTACTCGAGATCATCCTCCGGCAGGCACACCTGCAACTCCAAGGTGGTTATGTTCTGATAGTAGGTCACCTTGGGTCTCACCACATTGGGATGTGTTTGCAGTGCCATCTCCTTATTGTAATTGCTAATCGGTTTCGCTGGCAAAGCACTCTTTGCCTTGCTTTTCTTCTTGGGTTTGCGGTTATCTTTGCTTTCCTCGCTCATCACTTTTTTGAGAAATTCTGCTGGATTCGTGACAGCCTGATCGGTATTCTTCAAGGACTGCTCTTCTTCCTCCAGTTCGAGCAGGGCGCAGTTCTTGATGCACTCGTATAGCTGGGACATGCTGTCTTCATTGGATGGTGAAGGTTTTCCCATTTCATGTTGGCTATTATTGGCTTCCTGATCCTTCTCCTCAAACGCCTCGCGTGCTATCTGCATAAGACGTAGGCATCTGGGGGGCAGTAGTTGGTGAGATTTCTTCTCCTTCATCACATGATCACCATTCTTTAAGGTCCTTTCCTGTGTCGACTCGCAGTTCTCTTTGTTCTGCTCAAGAATTTTCTTTGCCTTCATTTCTAATTCACAGTTCTCCTTGTTCTCCTCGAGAACTTCCCTTGCCTTCGGTTCTACTTCCCAGTTCTCCTTGTTCTCCTCAAGAACTTTCTTTGCCTTCGGTTCTACCTCCACCCGTTCTTCTACAATCAACTTTTCCCCGAAGATCTCTAGAATCTTTTCCTTAGCACTCTCACATCTGCATGCCAAATTGGCCTTGATTAGCTTTTGGCAAAGATTCAGATGACGCAGGTGCACCTTGAAGTTGTCTGCATAAACCATGGCCACCAGATCCTGAACGAAAAGGGTGCCTGCCGTTGCGAACTGAATGTTGGCCTGCAGAAAGTGGCCTTTGGGCAAATTCTTGAGCAATTTCTCGGCCTGGCTGCGCTCCTCCTCCGACCAGCTGCTTTCGCCGGACTGCGGCACCATTCCGAGCAACCGCAGATCCAAGGCCATCGGTGGCACCTGCTGCATGGCCAGCGAGCACTCGTAGAGTCGTCCGGATTGTGTGGCCAGGACACGGGTGTCCACATCCAGAGCCTGCACCTCCACCGATATATCGGATCTTAGCAGATTTACGTCCTGAATGGGAGCTACTTTCAATACCCTCACCCGTTCCTTGGTGAGCGTGGTGTGGTGCATGCAGATGGCTCCGGCCACTGGTGGCCAGTAGCGGTGGGGCTCCTTGTCCTGCAGCAGCTTCAGGCGCATCTCCTGCACCGCCAGGAAGGGCAGCGCTTGCCAAGTGCCATTAAGCGGCAGGTGCTCCTCGAGGCGAACGCAAAGGTGTGCGGGCGAGTAGACCCGAACCAGCTGAACCTTGACGTCTCCGGAGGCGGGAACATGGCTGGGACGCAAGTCCAGATCGGCCACATGATGTCGAGCCTCGCAGACAGGATCGCGGCACTCGCCGAGGAGGAGGATCTGTCCACAGATCGCCTGCTTGTTGCTCTTAGTGCTCTCCACATCCCCGCGAATCTTCTGGGCCACCGATAAAACGACGGGATCTATTTGCTGGTGCAACTGCAGGAAGTCCACGAGTCGGGGCAACTGCCTTTGGTTGCCATTGTCCAGGAGAACCTGGGAGAGGAGGGTCACCTGATGACTGGGTTTTCCAGAAAGATTGTTGCTCAGATTCTCCGAGATCGTTAGATGTCTCATCTTGAACTTGCTCCACGTGTCGCCCATGCCGTGGTGAATCAATGTGTGTGCATTTCGGATGACCAGCTCCGGGCAGCTGTCCGTGCAGAGGAGGATCAGCCCGCGACTCTTCGCCAGCCAGCTGTGAACCTGCTCGCGAATCGCCAAATCCGAGGTTTGATAGTAGGGAAGACAACCGAATCCTCGATCCTCTAGAGCCCTCACCAATTGTCGCATCTCTCCGTCATCCAGGCAGTAGATAACCGTGCGGTAATCCTCGGGAGAACGCTGTTGCAGCAGCTGCATCACCTCGCTGCTCTTTTCCTGCTTGCGAACCAGGGAAATCCGGATGCGAGTGCCTCCATACAGGGCTGCCTCCAGGATATCCCCGAATATAACGGCCGGGCGACTGCTAAGCATTCTCAACTTTGTCATCAGAGCTTCACTGTAGGACTGCGACACCATCACCAGCTGGGGATAGTGGGTGGTGGGCAGCAGCTCCTGCACCACCTGCTCGGCCCTCCGCAGCTGCTCGGCGGCCATCAGATCCACGTCATCGTAGACCAAGAACTGGAGACGCGGGAAGCGCAGGAGGCCAGGCGCCTCGCGCCCAAACCAAGCCAGCTGGGCGGGCGTGGCCACCAGGCAGCCCACGCCGTTGAGCAGGCGGAGCAGAAAGTCCGAGGAATTCGCCGTGGAAACATTCAAGGTCAGGGTGATCGAGTCATCGCTGCGCGCCTTCCTTAACAGGGCGTGGCACATGGCGCTCACCTGGCGGACGCGCTGCAGGTCGGGGACCAGGATCAAGGCCACGGCGCCCGGATGAAGCATCCTCTGCCGGCGGCTCTCGGCGAGGGATTTGCAAACCGCCTGGCAAACAACGGGAACGTAGGCAAAGGTGCGTCCACTGCGCGGGGCACTCACTATCATCGCTCCGTGTCCCGATCCTCCGCCTAGATGGGGCCAAGCGAAGGCCTGCAGGCGCATCAGGCGGTTCAGGCCCAGTCTCCTCATCGTCTCCAGGATGTGGGGCAGCAGCGCCACCTCCGCGAATTGGCGCGCCGGTCGCAGGGCGTGTGTGGAGTGGGCCACCACATATTCGGAGCAGTTGGTGGCCACCAGCGGACGGATCGCATCCTGCCTGCTGTATGGGTCGCCCACCTCGTAGTCGGGATCCGATTTCTCCAGATCAGTCAGTATTTTGGCCAACTTTTCGCCGTTGTACATATTATTTTCCATGTTTTTCAAACTCACGTTAACTTTCTAACAACAGGGTTGTTCACGATTTTTCTAAAAACATGCGGTCATACTGTCTCAAGTGTGACCGGCTGCAACTGCGCATAAGGCCTTTGCACATGCGCGCCTTCGATAAGCTTTTATCGATAGTCTTTCGATTTATTAAGCCCCTTTCGCACTACAAGGCTATTCACACTAGTAAATAGTATTTAAATACATTACTAAATCCCTTAAAATAAAAAAGCTAGCTACATTAAAAAACATGTAAGCCAAAAGATAAAAGAAATAAATCAAATTAAAATTTTTTTTAAATGTTCACTTTTTAATTTTTGAAAATAAAAGCCCCAAGAAGTTTAAAAAGATTTTTTAAAAGGATAAACCACAAATTGGTGGAAATTAGGCTTCAAAAACTTGGCCTAACAGATTTCATTTTTTTAGATTGTCTAGATTTTTCCAGTGCAGATTCCACTTCTCAGCTCGGCATGTAAATTGCGTCAGCTTTTGTGGCGGCTTTGGGGGGCGACACCACCAGGGGACAAATGTACATAATCATGTCAGATGTCAGCCGAAACGAAATGAGTAACGAGGCAGGCAACTCAGTCCAGGAATCCAGAAATGCCGACAGGACCTTTGATTGCCTCGGCGCTGCCTCAAATAAATGGGGACCATCACTTGATGGCAATTGCTTGCCTTGTTCTCGGCTCCTTTTGGAATACTTCAATTTCTTTGTGGTGTAACAATCATCTGGTGCGTTCCCCATTTCCGATTTGACGTCTTACTGCACTTCAAGCTCGATGGAGTATTCTCGTTAAATCAATAATAACTTTAAAATTATCAAGAAACTCGAAATCGAAGCATTTTGAAACAAAAGTCATCTTATGATTGACTAAAGAATTCGCGTTTTAATACTTAAACATTTTTTTTATAAATTATTTAGATGGTAAATATTTAGAAAAATATTTGTTTCGATATTGTAAATATTTACAACGGGAAAGTGTCTTCCCCTTTAAAAATAAGACTGAATCTCTTTAATACGGGACCAAACCGGGATGGCAGATGAAAGTCAAACGAAATGGAGCCGAATCGCTGGCGTCTTATCAAACCGCACACGCGCCCATCTTTCTCATCACGACCACTACCACCGCACCGTCATCATCATCTTCATGATGCTGCAGGAAAAGAAACAGAAATCTACTACATCATAAACTAGAAAGATGTGGGTGGAGTGGAGATGGCTGGTGCGGATGGGTGGTTTTCGAAATTATGTTGATAACCTCGCATGATCCTGACATTAGAGCTGCTCGGGTGCTCGGCTGCTGTCGACAACGACCGACCTGGGATGAAATGGACGGGATGGGATGGGATAGGATGGGATAGGACGGGATGCCAATGCGGATGGCGATGGAGATGGAGATGTGCACGTACCGGCTTAAGTATATTCAAGCATATGGAGGGAATCAAGTGAAAATCAATAAAACCCAAACACGTCTACACAAATCACATGAAAATCGATGTTCATGGCAGTTACCGCTCCTCCAATTTTGCACCAAATACCACACGGTAAAAAAAGAAAGTAGGATACATCTAAAAATGCATTTGATCATTCTTGAAGAATTTTCTTTTATCGAAATTTCAAAAGGGGTAGAATATCAATTCAAAAATTTTTTTTTTTTTAAAAGCAATGAAGTAACATTTTTTTAAAAATTAGAAAGTTTAATTAAATACTTTTTTAGGTATCAACTAAACACCAATAAAATCTAAAATAAACCATATTAAAGCTATTATTTTATCCAGTAATAGAACAATAAAACTTAGTGTGAAAAGGAAACAATATTTAAATTATATTAAAAATAAAACATAAATAAACATAATTTTAGTCCTATATTTGGACAATGTATTGGGTCAACTTTATTTAAAGAATGTACATTATAAATCATAGTTAACATAAAATGTTGCAGTGTACAATTTGGAAAGTACATTTTTTGATTTCATTCAATGTAGTCAACTAATTAATAGGCTTTTATTTCTCCCTGTGCAGCGATGTGCGCGGGAACTAAAAAGCCACTCTTCGCCAGCTCCAGTTTCCTGCTCCCCGGCGATGTATCGAAGAACTTAAAGGATTGTTGCCCATGTTGTTGTAGCTATTTTATTGGGAAAACGTGCAACGCATTAGAAGAGCCAGCTCCACATTTTCCTCCTGCGCCACAAAGGCTCACTAAGTGGTCCATTCGACGATGGCGATGGCGTTGGGTAGCTCGAAAAGGCGTTCATTTGTATCCCATTTGGAATCCCAGCGAAGCTTCCATGGTACCGTTCGGAATTCGGAATTGGGAATTTTGATCCTGTGAAGAAAGGATTGCCAGCCTAAGTGCCCGGCAGCCTTTGGCTTTGGTTGAGGCTTTTAGCAGCGTTTTCTTACGGCGTTTCCCATTTGTCCTGCGAAGTGCATTTGTGTGTCTGCAAATGTGACGGCTTTTCTAGTGAGGTCCCTTCGCTCGCCCACCTGTGAAAAAGTTTCAAATCACGCAGAAATATCGAAACTAAGTGGATATGCTATAAGGACTTCTAAGCATTTATGGTTGGGCTAACACAAAAATAATAACGCCCCTCCTCCTTCTTTTTTAGTCCCATCACGGAGTGAAAAATAGCTGGACTAATAAATTCCCCGCTAGTAAATCTACACACAAAAAAAAGCACGTCGCCGTAAAATCGATAAGTCCAGGTAATTTTCTGGTTATTCCTACTCATATCGTTTTTACCTGAAATATTCATAAATTTACATTAAATAATATCATTTTGCCGAATTCTCTCTCTCGGAGATTCTCTAACTTCGAAAAAGAGCGCAAGAATCAATATGGCGAGCAAAATGACATGAGTGGAAGGGAGAAAGACTGATTCGAAATTCGAACTGACGTACTTCAAGCATGTTTTCTCGCTCGCACTAGTGTACGTTTTGGTCAGAAATACGATTTTTTACATTTCGAACATATCACATTTACCTGGCCCCATATCAAGTTAAAAATGATCTTAAAAAAGGTCAAATTGACCTACGATTCATATCGAGTTTTTTTTGGGTGTAGGCTCTAAGCTTTTTTTAAATATATAAAAAAAAATACACCGATAATTATCGGGGTCTAAGGGTTTTTATACGATTTTAGAAAAATATTATAAAATGTTGTTAAAATATTTATTTTACTTATCACTCTATAAAGATTTATAATTTTTGTGAAATGTCTACACAGTTCTTTAATTTACAATATATTTTTATAAATATTTAATTAAAATATTTATTAAAATACTATTATATTTTTTTACTTACTTTTTACTTTTCTTCTTTATTTAAGGTCTCTCTCACTACTTCTAAAACTATGTATTATAGTTTCTTTGCAACTAGAAAAACTTTAGATACCATTATTTTTTTAAAGAAAACAAAGGCAGGAATTGCCAAAGTAAACGTCTTTGCAATGTGGATAAGTCTTTTAAGCTGCTGTGGGTTGATTTCGGTAAGGGGAGTTGTAAGCCGCCCTGAACATCTCATTTGGCTAACTCCCGACGGGACGTATTTAGGTTAAACTCGTGTGGAACTCACTCACATAAATCATGCGTTTGATTAATTGTATGCCACTGACTTTTATCCTGTTCGACACTGCTGCAGCGTGGCTACAAAAAATTCAAAAGAAGATGAGGGAGAGCTGGCCTTTAAAACTTTTGGCATGCACTGAAAGAAATCAGGAAAATGTAACTTTTCTATAAACATCATCTTTTTATATATTTAGCTATTAAAGTTAATTAAATAACGTTTTTTATTTGTATCTAACAATAATTTTATCCAGGGCGCCACAAAAATGGCTATATTTTTGTAAATAATAAAAATTTTTATATTTTACACTAGGCTTGTATCTACTTTAGCTTTTTCCCTCCTAACATTTTACTAGAATTTTCAAAAGAAATAAAAATAAATATAGGACATTTCGATCGAAGTCTTGGATTTCAGCCACTATTAAAATAAAAGTTGCAAAATATGCTTCTACATCAGATTTTTAAAATTTTTTTTAAGAATTTGTTTCTTAGTAAGCTAGAAAACTTTAATGCTCTTTTTTCTATTCAATATGTTTATTTTTTTCTCAGTACATTGGTGCGGCAGAGGCCCCATGCTGGGCATTTCGCCCCGCCCCCTCGCCCTCCGCCAGGCAATTGTGTTGTGTAAACATTTTTTCAGCATTAACTGACATGTGTAAATCCCCCCAACACCACGCCACACAGAAAAAAAGCAGCTAGACGAAGGAAAATGCGGATGCTTTTCCTAAAGCCGATCCGATGGAGAGCGGAGCACCCACAACGAGCCAGTGACAAATAGGAAAAGGGGAGTGGGAGTGGAAAGGGAAGGGAGAGGGGGAGTGGGTGGATAGGGGATATGTGGGACTTGGGATAAGGGGGCTAAGAGACGGGGGTGTTTTAGCCGGACTGTCCAACGCCAGCGGCGCCATTTTTTATTTCTATTAAGATGAATTGTTAAAACAGTGACAGGCCCTGTGTCGGCGAAGCATTTTCATCCATTTTCTTGCTTTTCCCTTCCATTTCCACCAGAACGGGAGGCGGTACAATGGGTCTTGTCATCCGGTAAAGGCCAGATATTCGACCATCAGCATATGTACAGTGTATGGAGGTAAGTAAGTAAGTGTGTAACTACAAATATAAATATAAAAATGTCCTAACTAAAATGTCAAAATACGGAAAACCTCTCATATTTGAATATTTTGGGTAAATGCTTTTGTTTTTATCAAAAAATCTTAAAAATAAAATAGTTTTTCTCTATGAGTGTTCTGAATGTTGGACTTTATTTAACTTTATCCTTAAAAATACTATTACAAACTTATACAAAATTCACACATGCAGCTACTAAGTTGATTAAAAATCGAAAAGTATTTTCTTAGATACAAACTTAATCGGAGTCAAATAAAATATCTCAAAGAAATCTAAATACATTTTATTACTAAGTTCTTGATCATCAAATCTAAAAATATTTATAGGAATAAATAAATTATATAGAATTTTTAAAAGTTTAAACAGGAATATGTATTGAATTGCGACGGGCATTTTAAGAACGTTTCTTACATTTTATAAACTGTTGCAAAACGCACTCAAAGAGAACTTCAGTGTTCTCTTTTCAATGAGCGCTTTATCTTAGCTCAAGAGATTTTCAGAGCCGCTCAAGAGTTGCCTGCGCTCTTAAGTGGTTCAACAACAGCTGACGGCAACACATGATCGCCGGCAGCAGCTCAGCTGGCTAAAGAGCGAGAGAGAGAGCGAGGGCCACTCAAGAGAGAGTTCACGGCCAAGGAAAAGGAAAAGGAAAAGCTGCTACGCCGGCAGCGCAGCCGGTGCGGAAAATCGGTATAAAAGCAGCAGCACGCGAGCCGGCCGGATAGTAGCTTTGGAAAACTGTTTGGAAACTGCTCCGCTCCGCTCAGCTCAGCTCTCCAGTGTGTCCCGTTATCGAAGTTGTGCCGCTGCCCGCAGTCCAGTTTTTCATCTATTTTCCAAGCTCTCTCGCCGCGCTGCTCTCGCCACGCACCCACACAGGCAAAGTGGCCACCGCACAGCTGAGCGAGCGTTGAGAAGGACAGAGAGGCAGAGAGCCAGAAAAGGCAGGAGAGAAAGAACAGAGAGCAGAGAACTTAAAGCTCCGTTTTTTCAATGCGAAACCGCAGTCGAAAAAACTCGGCCGCCAAAAACACATCGGACCAAAAGCGAGAGCAGAAGTAGAACCAGAAAATCGGAAAACCAGAAAAACGGCCAGGCAAAAAGAACACTTCTACAACAGAAAAACAGAAAACGCAGCCATCAGCACTTGAAACTCCGCCATATGTAGCCAAGCCAAGCAAAAGCAAGATAAAAACGCCTAGGAAATCGAAATCGAAATCTCTGTCCAACCAACAACAACAAGAACGTCTTGAATTAAATCAAAACCATGTGCTGTGCTTAAATTTATTAAGAAACCCAGACAGAGCGAGATAGAAAACAAAAGGAAGCTAAACCAGAAGAGAGCGAGCGAGAGAGAGAGCTGAACGGGGCGGCAATTTGCGTTGATTTTTTAGCATGTATTGAATTGAAATGTTTAACTAGAATAACAAATTTAGTTGTTGATACTTTTCCAATTGTTTGTTAAAACGCTGTCGCTGGAAAATCGAACTCTCCACCCACACAAACCACAAAAACAAAAAACACCCAACACACGCGAAATAAAATCAAATTCTTGTGATTAAAGTGCATTTCTACAAGTACGTTAAATACAACTATCCACACTCACGCAATATACCCACATGCATACATATATATAACGCAACGAAAGTCGGTCGAGATCGAAAATCTATATAATAACGCATTCGGTGGCAGCAGCAGGCGGCAGACTTTAATTTGAAAATCCAACACTCAACCGGCTGAAAACACACAAAATAGCAGTTTCAACGGCGACTCTATGAAGATGGAAGTGCTCTCAGTACAAAATCACATTCAGGGAAAATTCGGTGTTAATAAAATTAAAGGTAAGTCAATGTAATAAATAAATTAATTAAGGGTGAGCAACAGTGAGTGTAATTAAAAAGGTTTTCGGAATTCTACATCTCGTAAGAAAAGTTTTCAAATTAAAAGATGTTGCGAAACATTTTGAATATTATTCATAAAAAAGCGATTGCAAAATTAGCAGCGTCAATATTTTTGTACTTTTGGAAATATTTGATAAAGTGGAATCAATTTTACATTTTGATACACAGTAACCCTTTTGTATTTGCCGAAAAAAGTTGTGTTTAAAGTTTAATGTGTTTAATCAGAGTAATAAAATTCATTTTAAAAACTGCTTTGTTTGTCGTGATCTCTTATAAATAGTTTTTTTCTTTTAAAGGAATAAATAGTTTTTTTTTAAAAAGGAATATTTAAAAATCGAAAATGAAGAAGTTCTATCAAAAGTTTCTAGAAAAACTTAAAAGTTTTAATCCACTTATCCCGAGAAAGGCAAATCTTTTTTTTCCCAAGTTTTCTTTGTGAGTTTCGGTTAGGGTTTCTTAAATTGCTTAATCAAAGAAAATTTCCGATTCCGAAGTATAAAAATCAAATGCAGCACAAGCTCAACAACAAAAATTATTACAAGTTTACAGTTCGGTGTTATTACGCTTGATTAATTTTAATGCCCTGCCACGCATTAAAACTAAATTTAAGGCCGCTGCTCACCTTGTGAACTTACAAAATCCACTCGGGTCGTTTCTTGCAAGAATTCTCAATTAAGGCACATTTCGGATATTTTAATGTGCCACGAACATTTTTATTTTTCATGTTTATGGCCCATTATTTTCTTCCTTTTTTTTGATTCAATTAATTTTATAGCGTACGGAAACATTTCATTTGATGTCTTTAGCAAATTTTCCAGAGATTTAAAATTCATTTATTCAAGTATTTCTTTAACCAATGGAAAATTTTGATAAATTCTTCTTTGATTTCGAATTGAATTGCCTAATGCTTCAAGTGTTTTTGGATTAAGTTTGATTTTTATTCACTACCAACAAATTAAAAGCAAACTGTTCAAAACGTTTGTAGTGAAACAGCACCAAATTTTCCTTCACCAAATCGACTGAATTTTTACAACCCGTAGAGGTCCGCTTGAGGGGTTGCAAAAATGTAAAATTTGCATTATGCATTTTGCACTCGGTTCCTGTCCGAAGCCAGGCCGGCATATCCTGTTCATGTGTCTGACGGGCGGATTATGCAACATCCTGTTAATCCTGTCACTTTAAACTTTGCACCACGGCACCAAGAAAGAGTTGAGTTGGGCAAATTAGACGGGGGGACGGCCGTCTGGGCAACAGGGAGGGATTCCATATGCATATAGCCATATAGCCACGTAGCACGTAAGCCAAAAACAGCAAAAAATGTAAAATCACCCAGAGGCGAACACAACACAACAAGCGGCGGTGGTAGCGACATGCAACAACATGTCGCCTCGCACACACACTCCCACAGATTTACCGTTACCCGGTTACCCGCAGTGCTGCCAATTTCAGCGGGAATCTGAGTTTTAATATCTATATTTCAGTTGAAATCAGTCAAATTAAGAACCTTTTTTGCCGCCGCAAATCGTGAATTTATCTTCTTTGAAATTATATGGCCCATGACTACACTTTTAGTTATTTTTTTAATTTAAGCCTGATGTTTAAGGTGCAAAATGCTAAATAAATATGGTTGTATATTTCCTTGTACGTCATTTTTTAAGAATTCAATACATTAAAAAGTGGCAAATTTATAAGAAATCTATAGTATAGAATCTACATATTTTCCAATCAAAAAATCTAATGGTCTGGAATGGACAGATTTGGCGTGAAAAAAGCTGAGGGGCGCATATTGGATACATTCCCACCTTGTTGTTGGCTTGCATCGCGCTCAAAGCTCTGCAGACCCCACCAAACCTCCGACTCTGTGCCACCCCCTTTCCCGCCCTTCCACGCCCCTGGCAACGTATGTATTTGCAGTCAATTTAATTTCATGACTGACTGAGCGCATGCAATTTTATTTTCGAAGGACATACGAACAAGCCAGCCTCACCAACACTCACACATGGTCATTATTCTTTCTCCATAAAGAATATATACAGCTGGGTTGAAAATGTTAGTAGCAATCTTTAGATTACACTCTGTTGATTTTTAAAAATATAAATATGCATGTACAATGTTCATATTTGAATACCTTATGTAACGTTATGTTATGTAAAAATTAAAAATTTAAAAGTTAGTTTACTAATTTTCTCGATTGAAAAACCTTCAATGAGGCTAAAACTTTGTAATTTCGAATAGGATATTCCCCTTTATATTTATTTACAAATGTATGGGGATGGCGAAAAAAAGGGTTATCAAGAAGTTGATTTAATATTTATCAACTCCATGTGTAGGTTTGTCGAATTTAGATTCGTAGCGGCTTCCAAAGATTTCCATTAGGGGGCCAAATGCGAATGACTTCCAAAATTGGTCGCAATGAATTATTTATAAACTACTCATTGATTCAAAAAAAAAAAAGAAAAAAACTAACATACGGACAAACATTTGTGTGTATCAACAATCATACGCAAACACATACGACGCACAGTTCATGGACTGTCTTACAACCAATTTAACTCGATTAGCGAGTTTTTATTGAAGATCCAAAATAGAATGGAACTGAGCAATAAACTATGATAACAGTAATTAAGTGGGAGATCTAAAAATAAAAGCAGCGAATTATCAATTCTTATACTGAGTTGAGTTACTGGAAACAACGCCTATGGGAAACTACAAACACAATACTTACATAACTAAATATTTTGGATTTTATAAAATTTAAATTTGGAAGTTTTAACCACAAACTTTAGATTAAGATAATAAAGATTCTGATTATGATGTGCATAGGTTTACCTCAGCCAATATACACTGTAAGAACATGATTGCCATTCCAAAGTGCACGAAAATTGAATTCCAAGGCCAAGCGACGTCACGCATTAAGAGAGCCAAGTAATAAGCCCGAAGCTCACCTATCGCCCACCCCTTCTCCACCCCCTACCCCCTATTTACTCGTCTGAGGTGAACAACAACAATAGAGAAACACAAGAGAAGAAGAACAGTCATGTTTGCGGTGTACCGTTAACTTGGATGGGCTGATGCTGCGTCGGTGCTTCTTCATTTCGCAGGTATTGTTCATGTGCATACGTATGTACATATGTATGTAAAATACATTCTTGTGTTGGCTGTTGTTGTTCTTGCTGATTTCGAATGCACAAAATACACAACCACAAATGCTCCTCGATTGCTGCGGCAAGTAGGAAAGAGATAGACTTAGTGGGTGGGTGGGAGAAAGCGAGGGGTGGAGATGTCTGTTCATCCTATTGAACCCATCTCTCTTTCAAACGCAAATATGTTGTACATATGTAAATATGTACGAATTTATGCCGACCAAAACACCACCCATAACACACCTTTATATTAATATAATATAATACTTAATACTTAAAAAAATTTTTTTTTAATTAGTTTCGAATAATATTTTAACAACTTTTGAGGTATTGAAACGGATTTTTAAAATCGTAACAGAGCCAATTAAAATCGAGGTGCTACAGAAATATCTTGAGGAGAAATTATGAGATAGGTGCGATATATAGAATTTTTTATTGGTTCGTAAAGATAACAAGATTTTATTCATTTATGGGTAGAGTTTTTTTTACGGCTACTAATTTGTTCGCAGCTGTGGCTGAGTGTACATCCAAACATACAGTGTACACATTTGTTTGTGTGCTTTGTAATTAAGTGTGGTCGTTTTCTGTTTTTTTTTTGTTTTTTATTTGGTTCTTTTTGGCTTTCGCTTTTTTGACTTTGCTCAAACCCTTTTGTGGAGACAACGGCACTTGACAAAATCCAATAACACAAACGCAGTGCGAGAGAGACGGGGCTATGGTGGGGCTGGGGGCGAGGAAGAGAGACGCACACATGTGGACACATGCAGAGCCGCAAACATGTGCCGTTAATTTCTTAATTACGCGGGTGTGCCAAGGAGCCAGAGGGAGACGGAAGACGAGGGAATGAAAGAGCATTTCAGATGCAGGGGATGGGGCCGAGAGAGAGAGAGGGAGAGGCACATGCAAAGCTAACGAGAGCAAATTGTCCATTCAGCAACGTTGCAATGATTATACAGTGGGCGGCATGGGAAGAAAAAGGGGAGGGAGGAATGCGCTGCCCCCCTCTTTAAAGAGTTTCCGCGCTAATTACAAGACGCTGTCGAGACAAGCCAAGTAGTTAATTTGTACTCGCTGCACTTGCACTCACACATTGTGCACACACAGTCTCAGGATAGGAGTATGAACCTGTTGTCGGAGAAAAATCATCAAGAAAACAACAAAAAAAACATTCGAAAATTTGAGCCCGTGTTATTTGAACAAAGAATTTTTTCATGTACGGAAACAACAAAATAATATCAATCTATCAATATTTATGTCATGAAAAAACTTCCAAGAATAAAGCTGAAACTCTGCATCTAAGGAAGCAAGTGAATATCCAAGAGAAAAGTAAATTATTATTATATTAATACATGACTTTGAGCTTCAAAACGATATTATAGGTGTTTTGGAAAAGCTAGCACTAACACTGCAGTTCCAATAAAATGAAACCATTTCTAAATATTTATTGAAAAATAAATTTCTGAGTAAAAAGAATATTAAAAGTAAAAATTATAATAAAAACATAATCTCTAAACAGTCTCTGTTTTTGAAGAAGTCGACCCACTGTACCATTTAATTCCCAGCTCACTGGAGTTGAGTTTTCGAGAGGAGTTGAGCTCCGCTTTTTATCGTCTGGTCGGTCGGGTAATAAAGTAACAGCAAAAGAATTAAAAGCAAGTGGTGGAGAGGAAGGAGTGCGAGGGGGGTGAAACGAAGGGGGCGGGGCACAAACTGCTGACTTGGGACACAGAGAGGGAGAAAAAGAGAGGCAGAGAAAAAGAGAGAGAGTGAGCGTCAGCTGGAAACGGGAAACGGCTGATTTTCCAGCTGTTGTTGCCAGGTGATTTCCCCCGCCCCCGCACCGACCCCCTCCGCTCCTTGGAAGCGGAGTCTGCGCACAGCACTCTTTCCGGTTCCATCGAGTGGAACGCGAGTGTGGATCCCGAGTCTCAGACATCAGCTGATTTTTTTCGCTTCCATTCTCAACATGGAACTCTTTGCCGGTCGATGTGCCGTCCAAAACTACAGTTGAACTTCCGTAACTCGAACTTTTCCCGGCCGGATTTCGAATAAGTTGAAGAGCACATCGATCTGTTCGAAAACAGGTAGTCAGGTACTTATCAGAATTTTAGGGGCTTCCCAATTTTTTTTTGAGAAAATATTTTTTAATATTGAAAAAAAATTTTTTGACAACGTAGTACAAAATTAAGCTAGTAAACTAAAAAAATTTTTTTTTTAAATTTTTATAAACGTTGTACGTAAAAATCAAGAAATAATATACAAAATATTGAATTTACTTTAATATTTCAAATATCCTAAATTATCTTAACTAACAAATATTTTATTATATTTTTTTTAGACTGGCAAGCTGCGACGGAGGAGGAGGACGAGCTGACCGCGGGCGTGAACGGGAACTCAGCCGCCGGCGAGGGCGATCTGGACGTCGACGTGGTCGATGGCCATCCGGCCTCCGTGCTGCACATGCGACAGCACCAGGCGCTCAACACCCGGCCACCTGCCACGCCCCCATCGGCAGGGGGCGGTGGTCCGTTGGCGGTCGTCGGAGGATCTGGCGGAATGACCACTCCCAAACAGGTCACATCGCCGGTGGCAGCGGCCAGTTTCGAAGTGCCCGTTAGCGGAGGCAGTGCAGCCGCCTATCACCACGCCTACATGACCAACGTGCTGGCCAGTACCGCCCAGCAGCACCACCACCCACTGCCCGCCTCGCCGCTGCAGTCGACGGCCGGCGCTCGCTTTGGGGCCGCCGACAATCTGGACGATGTGAGCGCCAGCGCGGTACGGGAGCTGTCGCAGCAGCTGCAGGCCCAGCTGCGGGACGCCAAGCGACGCCACCTGGCCTGCACCGAGGTCACGCTGCCCAACGACCTCACGCAGCGGATCGCCGCCGAGATCATCCGGATGTCGGAGCGGGAACCGTGTGGCGAACGGGCCTGCACACTCTTCATCGAGTTTGAGAGCGAGCCGAATAACGTGAGGTGAGTTGTGAAATTAATTACCCGTATTCTGGAATATATAATAACTAATATATATTCGATTTCCCCTTGCAGACGCATTGCATCCTTCAAGGTGGACCCGGACACCGTGTCGATATTCGAGTTGTACTTGACATTGAGGCAGGACAAGAGCGGCTGGACCTCCCTGCTGCCGCAGTTTATAAAGTAAGAGGCTGCACAAAGAAATCGGTTTAACTGCATACTAAATGTCGCTTCGATCTCCTCCAGAAACCTCACCCGTAGCAATACCATCAACATCAGTCCCGACTTCACGCTGACCAAGAACAAGCTCTACTCATCCGAGTGAGTCGCTCGACGGAGGAATCAGGATCAGAGTCAGAATCGCTGGGCTGCTCAAAACTCAATCCCTCCGAACAACAACAGTAACAGCAGAAAGCAGCAGAAAGAACAGCAGCAATCGCAATCGCATCGCAATAGCAACATCTATCGGTCGTGTCCCTTCGTCGCGATTATATAGATTCATGATCTTCATTATGGAATACAGAGAGATGATGTTTAACCGTAGAGGCAAACTTTTGGACCACAAACTATCAACTTACTCCTGCAAATAACAAATCAACTCAACGCTAAAGCAAAAAACAATTATTTTGGAACCTAAGCTCTAAAACAAAACCAAAAAAACCAAAACGAAAACAAAAACAAATCAACTGCAGTTGCAGGCAACTCAAAACTCTTATTGGACTGACTTTTTGGCTTAAACAAAAAAGGTACTTTTTGAAAAACGAAAAAAAATCGCAAAAAAAAGAAGTATTGAAAATGAAGCGAGTGAGGAGAACCAAAACCATAAGGAATATTCAAAATATTGTAAAACATTAAGGCAGACAAGCAGAAGAAAACTTCACTCAGTGAGCGGTTGTCGGTGATCCGTTTTAAATTGAACACAAAAAGCAAAACCCCCGGATGGAAGCGTAGAGTATTAACCCAATTTGTATGTATGGATGTGTGTACACCACCACCTTGTATCATCCTCATAATCCAGGAATCAAATGTAGCTTGTATATTATGTATAACTGCAGTGCATAATGTATAGAGCATGTTTTTTGTCACGATTCAATTAGGCTATTACTTCTAATTGCATGCATACATACATACATCTATATACCGTATTGAGAAAAGAGAATCCAACAAAATTCTATATATATGAAAGCAAACAATAAGAATCGGAATCGATCAACCGAAGCAGAAAGAGGAAAGTTAATAATAACAAATATAAAAACAAAGTTGATGTGATATTATATAATAATTATGAATATTGATAAACGCATACACACTCACGAATACACTCACATACATAAAGAAATCAAATGCCGAAAATTTGGAATGGATTGGAAATTATTTCGAAATTTTTTTTGATCCCGACCCTTGTCAAGTCGGTGCCCAGTTATCTTACAAAAACAAAATTAATGTTAGTAAAATAGATTCAACAAATTCTCAAAATATTTCCACCTGTTTATGATTAAGCTCTGTATTATTATTTTAATTGATTATTATTATTTTCTTGTTTTTGTGCAGAGTTCCAAACTTTGCGAGGAAAGTGTAGCCAAGTGGCTGAATATACAATATACATTTATAGATATATATGAAAAATATTTCTAATATTTGATGTGTTTCTAATGTAAGATTTTAATATTAAACAAGCAAAAACCGAAATCAACAAACAAACTAAACTAAAATCCAGCAGAAGATTTCATTCAATGTGCGTAGCTGTGTGTTTATCTGTAGTTTAGTTAACAAAAAACAAATGCAAACAAACATCCAACAATAAGAACACGATATGACAAACAAACAAAATTGATAGGAAAGAAACGATGATATCGCCAGAAAACGGTTGAAATATTTAACTTATGGATACATTTTGGCTAGTTAGTTGGCAAACAAATTGTTTTGATTAACGAATGCAGTGAAATTATTTATAAAAAAGGAAAAAATTTATGAAAAAAATGGGTAACTATTGTGAAGAGGCAGAAGCAAAAAACTTTCGGAAAATATAAAGTCATCTGTGTTAATAAATTTTAAAATAATTTTTAGCGTAGAATAACAAAAACAAGAAGTGAAATCGTAAAGGCAAAGCAAAATTCATTAAATCTGTTGTAAATGACAGACGTCTTAAAACTCTCACATAAGCCACAACAAAAAAAATTAAACAGATCCCAAGTATTTGACAGGTTAATTGTAGATTTACTCGTGCATAACACACACCCACAAACAAACACACGCAATGGCAAACAAGAATTTATTTATAAAACCAAGAAATACAAAAACATTTGCAATAATTTAATTAAACTAACAAACAACTTTTTTCCATCAATAATCAATCCCACAAAGATCTCGACTAATAAGATGAAGAACTCATTATACGATTAAGAACAGAGCAAAGGGAAAATTACACAAGAAGAAATACAATTTAGGTATTTAAAACTTGCTTTAAACTTATTTAGGTTAACCCAGGTGTAAAATGCCAAGAGCCCCCTAATGCATAATAAATGTTTTAGCCATCTCAAACTCAAGTATCGACGTTTTCAGCTCCATTCGATCATTAAACACAATCACACACATAAGGATATGCATATACTAAAGATATGTAGTGTATGTAAATAGGGCCACCGTAGCAGCAATAAATGAGAAGAAATTAAAAGATATATATACTGTATTAACTAATTAAATGTGAACATAAACGAAGCAAGTGAAGAAATAGAACCATGAATGTGATCTATTTAATAATAATCTTAAATAAAATTAAATTTGCAGAAAGCAAGAAAGAAATATTGCGATAATTTCCTTTTGTTCAATTTAAATTCTTAACCAAGTAGTCGTAGAACATTTTAATTTGTAGAACTTTCAATATCATTTGCCGAATTTGTTTCCAAATTGATTGGTTAACTTTTTTGTTCACAATGTTGCCAGGCTTTGTAAGATTGTAGGATTCGCAACGCTTTCTATGTGGTTTTTCTTGAGCTTTTTTTTTAAATCAGCTATCGGATATTGTATTTTGAAGTAGAGAAACTATCTCCAGTTTTCGGAGGATTTTTTTGTTACGTTTTCCATGGATAAGTGTAAACTGTAAGATACAAAGAAAGAAATGAATCTTAGATCTGTCCAGTGCTCCTCAAAGTATTTTGTAAACAATAATGATAAACCAAAAAGGAAAACAAAAGCGAAAGCAAAAATCGTGACAAGTATCAAGCCCATAAGCAAGTGGATATAAATATGTATTTATGCAAGGGTTATGCGAAAAGTTCTATAAATGGATGTAAAATAGATGGATATATCTATATATATTGTAGAATTTTTACACATTCTATTACAGACTACAAAGTTACCGACTAAGGCAAACATTACGATTACTACTACGGCAGAACTAATGTATATTTTCAATGTATGTGTGTGTGTTGTTTAAGGGAACCAATTAATGCATTCAAGAATCAAATTACAAATCAATTAAACGAACGCCTCAAGTGAAATCGAAAGCAAATAACTATCCGTAACACTAGAGACCCCCTATCCTTTCAAAACTAGACCGCACCCGAATCAATATTTAAATTAAAACTGCATTCCAATTGCGACCGAAATCAGTATGGCATCTTTGATTATCGATAGGAAGTTAAATTCAAACGATTATCCCACCATATGCGATCTGAGCCAGATTTCATTATTATTTTCTCGTTAAGTTCAAGATTCAGAATCTGCTTTCATTGGCGGCTACGCTCAATCAGTTAGGAAAACTCTTAGAGTCCCAATCCCTCCCCGAATTTTGTCAGTTCAAATCTGCGCTTGTTTCTTTTACGACTAAAATAATAATAAAGGGAAAGTAACATGTTCTCAAATACCGTTGATAAGAATCTGTGTTGTACACCATATAGTTATGTGACGAAGTAACGTTTAACAATTTCCATTATATATGTGGCAATAGGTCTTTAACGAATAAACAGAGTCTCAAGCGACAGCTGAAACGAGAGAATGCGAGGGAAAATAAAATATATATTATATATGTATACCATATACTACCTATATGATTATGAGTGTATGTAATGAAGAAAACAAATGAAAATAAAACAAATTTAAATTTTAGTAGCGCTTAACAAATTCTAGCAATTTAACAAATTTTAATTAATCAAATAAAACAAACAAATGCAAAAATTGCAATTTAATTTTTTTCTCTGTGTAAAAGTTGATTAAAAAATAAAAAAAAGAACAAAAAAACAATAAATTTTTTAAATGTGAAAAAATGCGAAATGGTTTTCTTTATTTAATGTATTTTTTCTTTTTCAGCTGTAAAGAACTCAGTTCGAAATTGTTGCATACTTTTCAGGAAATTTTAAAGAAAATCCACCAAAATAATAATTATATTTGTATTAAAGAAACAGAACACATTATCTTGTAGGAAACGCTATGTATAACTTATTTTGAGTTATAATTTTTTTTTGTTGTAGCCAATTTTTATTTGAACTACTGACTGATATTGTGTGGTTTTCACTATTATTGTTATATTTACTTGGCTAATATTTGATTATTGACAATTCTACAAAATCCCTTATGTTGATAGACTCGCTTTAAACCTTTTGGCAAGTGTACAAATAAAGTAAGGCGGAACTTTGGGTATTGCTATAAAAGTGGTTGACTAGGTTTCAAGTAATCACATCATCCAATTGTTCGAGCTCAGCAGTTCCAAAAGATCACCGTATTATTCAAGATGAAATTCCTTTTCGTGGTTGCCCTTATCGCGCTGGCCATTCAGTTGGCCCATTCGGCATCTGGCACAACAACAACTACAACGGCTGCTACGACTACAACAACGACAACCACTGCGGCATCAACCACCACAACAACCGCCTCTTCCACCCACAAGAAGCTCTGTTGGAGGGGCAACAACTGGTGCCACACCCGCATCCCCAAGAAGAAGTGCAAGAACCCGAAGAGGTGCCACAAGACCGTTGTGATCGTTACCCACAAGCGCGGATGAAAATGCAAAGATGTGAAGATGCTATCCCTGGAAAAACTAATAATAGCACAATTATTGGTTTTTAATTATTCAAAATAAAATAAATTTGTATAAAACATAACTCATTGTTTTCCCTAAAGGTAGTAGAGCTTCCACAACTCGAACTTCCTTACCTCGAGTTCTAACATGATTCACTAAGCATAGGGAAAACTATTATAACCTCATTAACCTTATGATGGGGGATCTTGTTATGGAATTTCAGCCCAATTATGGTTATGCGTAATATAATTATATGGTTTGTAAACTTTCAAATGTGTTGGTGATTTGGTGAGCTAAAAGAAATGTAGGTCCCACGAAATAAAGTATTGTGGTCAAACTTTAAAAACTACTTTTTCAATATGAAACTGCTCCAGATAAAACAAAATATACCCAAGATAATACCCTTCACTCAGCTAAAGGGAGTGCGGGGGAGATGGATATATAACCTTTTTTTGATTGTGTATAACTTTTTAATGAATGGTCCGATTTGAAAAATGTCTTCTACATTTCGATAGGTATAAATATACACAACAAAATTGCCTTTATACTTCCCGAAAATCCTTGAAGGTGTAGGCGCCAGACGTTAGTGGGCGATTGTGGGCGTTAGAGGGGGCGTGGCGCTCGGCTGAAATAAACTTGCGCTGCTTGGAAGCCCAAGAACCTTTTAGCTTTTGTAGTTTCTGAGATCTCAGCGTTCACACGGACGGACAGACGGACGGACAGACTGACATGGTTAGATCGACTCGGCTAGTGACCTTGATCAGGAATATATATACTTTATGGGGTCGAAAACCCCTCCTTCTATCTGTTACATACTTTTGCAGGAATACAATATACCCTTTTACTCTACGAGTAACGGGTATAATTATCTGCTTCAACAAGACCAACACTGCGCATACGTAATTTTTTTACACATGACAATGCGAATTTTACATTCGTTTCAAAGTATGTAATGAAACGTATTCCCGGTCACGATCACTAGAAAGTAGTTAGTTTTTTGTTAGTAATTAAAACTAATAATAACTTCTTCAAATCGGACAATTAATTGCTTCCTAAAACGTGCGCATGGACACGCCACAAAAAAAGAATTTCCCGTTATTTAACCAACGGGATATACAAAATAAAATTGTTAATCGGATATTTGTTTAATTTTAAGCTTATAGTCGCATTAACGCCAATATATTTTGGTAAAGTGAGCCATTTTTTGAACAGCTGTTTTTCCATGTCATTAGGGCATGTAAGATTGTAAATATTTAAAATTGCGTAGTATTTGTACGAATTCGATAGGCTTATCGGATGCAAAGAACTACAGTACACAATTATTATTTGGCAAATACAGACATTAACACCTAACGAGGAAAAGATATGAAACGGAATACTCTTATATAAGAGTATGTTTTCGCTTTGGTAGGCATAACATTCGACATTACTGTTTCCATACGGATTTGTCTTGTTTTCTTTTCGGGCTTATAAGCAGTTTACAAGAACCCAGGATTATTTAAGATGAAGTTCCTCTTTGTGGTTGCTCTGATCGCCTTGGCCATTCAGTTGGCCTGTTCTGCAACTGGCACAACTTCAACTACAACGGCTGCTACGACTACAACAACGACAACCACTGCGGCATCAACCACCTCAACAACCGCCTCTTCCACCCACAAGAAGCTCTGTTGGAGGGGCAACAACTGGTGCCACACCCGCATCCCCAAGAAGAAGTGCAAGAACCCAAAGAGGTGCCACAAGACCGTTGTGATCGTGACCCACAGAAAGAATTAACGAAATGATATATCTCAGAATAAATATTTTTAAATAAGTGCGAAATATTTCGGTTGGTGTTTCATTTAGCCCCGGTTAACCTTTAACTGGTTAAAAATTATTCTGGTTTTGCAGCAATAATAACAAATTTATTAAGAAAGGATTTCAGGATGTCGGCAGTCAGGAAAGAATGTCAAATTAGTGATTTGGTCTCCAATCATCTACAACATCCATGTCGGCTCTCCGCAGACGCACTGGCGGACCCTCTGCTGGAGATTCTTCACAAGGTTAAGGAGGTCCTGGCAGAGTTGAACCCTTTCAGGACAGCCCTTGCAAGCTTTGCCGCCAGGACCACAAGGCTCGCATCCACAATTGCTACCTAAGGCGAGATCCGTGAATCCAATGAGCAGGATGCAAGCTGTAGGGGAGAAGTATGAATTGAATGATGGGTTACGGTCCGGGTCCTACTTTCTCTACTTACCAATAATGGCAACAGCGATCAGTTTCATGGTTGTATGTTGATTGATTGACTTTACCAGATGGTGCCATATTCGGAGAACTCAACAGCTTTTATAGCCCAAAAAGCCCAAGTGGATCAATGGAAAATTTTATCCAATATCCAAAAATAAATTTTTCTGGGCAAACAGTTTGTTTCAATTTAAACAAAACCCTAAACTTATTTTAAACTTTGCTTTTCACCCATCTGTCTAGATAATTATAGAAATAAACTTTTTAAAGATTGTAATATATTTATTGAACCTTTGCATTATCGGTATAATTATAAATGTATATGTGGACTTTACTGATTTTCATAGACTAGTAAACTAATAGCTTAATTATTGATGGTAAATACAATCTAATTTTTTCCGTAAGCCAAATCTCGCTGTTAAAGAACGCGTTTCAAAATCAAGTAGTCGTGTTAAAACCAACAATTGGTTGTGCTTTGAAAATATGTCTTTAATGGAAGTATTTGTATTAAACAAAATTCGTTTTTTAAGGAGCAGCTAAAAATTTTATAGGAAACAAGAAAGGAAGTTAACTTCGGCCAACCGACGGACTCGGCTATTGATGCTGATGAAAAATATATTAACTTTATGTGGTCGGAAACGTCTCCTTCACTGCGTTGCAAACTTTATAATACCCTCTGCAAGGGTATAAAATAAACATCGGACCATTTTAAAAATTATAGCTTATACAGATTTGAAAATACTACACTCTTTTATAATTTAATTAAGTTCTTAGGTGCAAAAATTGAGGATGACACTGAACATTCGGAAAGAACACCTGCGAAGGTCGTTTCAGGTTTATATTTACATTGATACAAATGGTTTGTCCAGTAAATTATTTTTAAATTATTTTTATTTTTGGATGAGCGGGTTAAAATTTTCCACTGATCCACTCCCACTTTTAGACCTATAAAAGGTGTAGAGTTTCACGGAATAAACATCATCTGGTAAAGTAAACCCAATCAAGATACAACCATGAAAGTAATCGCTGTTGCCATTATTGGTAAGTAGAGAAAGTAGGGCCCCAATGAATAAAGTCAACCTTAAATTTCGTTAATTCCGCAGCCTGCATCCTGCTCATTGGATTCACGGATCTAGCCTTGGGATGCAATTGTGGATGCGAACCTTGTGGTCCTGGCGGCAAAGCTTGCAAGGGTTGTCCTGAAAGGGTTGCTCTCTGCCAGGACCTCATCAACCTTGTGAAGAACCTCCAGCAGAGGGTCCGCCAGTGCGTCTGCGGAGAGCCGACTTGGATGTTGTAGATATGTATTTGCTATCCAATCATTGTTTCTGACATCCTGAAAACCTTTCTTAATAAATATGTTATCTTTTCTGCAACAACCGGAATCTTTTTTAAAGAGTGCAAGAATAACCGGGTTAATTGAAACAACAACCGAAATATTGCAGCATTTTGAAATTATTTATTTTGGAACATATTTTAACATTTTTAAATATGACCCATTTAGTTAATGTTTTCTATGGGTCACGATCACAACGGTCTTGTGGCACCTCTTTGGGTTCTTGCATCTCTTCTTCGACATGTGGGTGCGGCAAAAGTTGTTGCCCTTCCAACAACGCTTATTGTGGGAGGGAGAGGCGGTGGTTGTTGCCTTAGTGGTTGCCGCAGTGGTTGTTGTGGTTGTTGTAGTAGCCGTTGTACTTGTTTCATCGGTTTCAGAATAGGCCAATTGAATGGCGAAGGCAATAAAACCGACAACAAAGAGAAACTTCATCTTGAAATCGGCTGTGGTCTTTAGAAACGCTGATAAAAAATGCAACCCCTTATCGAAGTGATGGTGTAGAGTTCTATGATTTCATGGAGTTGGCACACGCTCTTTTATAAGCAAATTCTGCCCACATTTTCTCTTTGTTGTAGAAAGTACATTTGACTAATAATTTTGGAACGCAAAGACAGCTGCACAAAGACACAATGTGCTTTTATAATTAGCATTATACTTTGAGAAGTCAAAAATTAAACAAATCGCTTTTATATTTTATTGTCAAGAACAGACATTGGCGACAATTGCTGTTTGTCTGTCTGCATTTATATATAAACCGATTTCAAAACAAGAGAGAACGCTATAGTCGGGTGCCCCGACTATCAGATACCCGTTACTCAGCTAAAGGGAGTGCGAAAGAGATGGAGAAAAACTTTGATCCTTCGTAACTTTTTAACGAATGGTCCGATTTAAAAAATTTCTTCTACATTTCGATAGGTATTGATAAACACAATAAAACTGCATTTTTACTTTTCCAAAATATTGAAATTTTTAAAATCGTATATAAGCGATTGTGGGCGTTAGAGGGGGCGTGGCACCCTTTTGAAACAAACTTGCGCTGCGTAGGAACTCCTAGAATCTGCATGCAAAATGTCAATCTTCTAGCTTTTATAGTTTCCGAGATCTCAGCGTTCATACAGACAGACAGACAGACAGACAGACAGACAGACAGACAGACAGACAGACGGACAGACAGACGGACAGACGGACATGGCTAGATCGAATCGGCTAGTGATCCCGATCAAGAATATATATAGTTTATAGGGTCGGAAACGCTTTCTTCTACCTGTTACATACTTTTGCACGAATCTAATATACCCTTTTACTCTACGAGTAACGGGTATAAAAATTGTCGGCATGCAAATTTTACATACTTTTCCCCGAATAAAATATTTTTTTTTACTCTTCTAGTAACGGGTATAAAAAATATTCCGAGTTTCTTGCAAAAAACTATCACAAATTTTAGTTTGCAGATTGGAATGACAATCGATTGGAAAAATTAACTACACCCAAAAAAAAATCGATATGAATCGTGGGTCAATTTGACCTTTTTTAAGATCGTTTTTAACTTGATATGGGGCCAGGTAAATGTGATATGGTCGAACAAAACTTATACTTGTGCGAGCGAGAAAACATGCTTTTGAAGTACGTCAGTTCGAATTTCGAATATGTCTTTCTCGCTTCCACTCACGTCATTTTGCTCGCCATATTGATTCTTGCGCTCTTTTTCGGAGTTAGAGAATTTCCGAGAGAGAGAATTCGGCAAAATGATATTATTTAATGTAAATTTTATGAATATTTCAGGTAAAAACGATATGAGTAGGAATAACGAGAAAATTACCTGGACTTATCGATTTTACGGCGACGTGCTTTTTTTTGTGTGTACGAACCTAATGGCATTATGACTTTCCTTATTAGGAAAATATGTTACTTTGTTTCGGATATATAATAACCATGTTATGCCTTCAATCGTGCTGATATTCCGTAACATGATCTACCATTAACCAAAATGTTCGTATTACATAACTCTCTATTTCCAATGAATCGTATTAAGGATTCGAGCTTAGGAAGTTCTTAGATTTTTGGGGAAAAAAATTGATTATGCCGCATACAAATGTATTTTATTTAGAACAATTAAAAACCAATAATTTAGGTATTATTAGTTTTTTAGGGGTAGCATCCTTGTATTTTCATCCGCGCTTGTGGGTCACGATCACAACGGTCTTGTGGCACCTCTTCGGGTTCTTGCACTTCTTTTTGGGGATGCGGGTGTGGCACCAGTTGTTGCCCCTCCAACAGAGCTTCTTGTGGGTGGAAGAGGCGGTTGTTGAGGTGGTTGATGCCGCAGTGGTTGTCGTTGTTGTAGTCGTAGCAGCCGTTGTTGTTGTTGTTGTGCCAGATGCAGAATAGGCCAACTGAATGGCCAAGGCGATCAGAGCAACCACAAAGAGGAACTTCATCTTAAATGATCCTGGGTTCTTGTTAACTGCTTATAAGCCCGAAAAGAAAACAAGACAAATCCGTATGGAAACAGTAATGTCGAATGTTATGCCTACCAAAGCGAAAACATACTCTTATATAGGAGTATTCCATTGCAGATCTTTTCCTTGTTACGTGTTAATGTGCTCATTTGCCAAATAATAATTGTGTACTGTAGGTCTCTGCATCCAATAAGCCTATCGAATTCGTACCAATACTTATTATGCTTTTTTAAATATTTACAATCTAACTTGGCTTCATATCATGTCAAAACAGCTGTTTAAAGCTAAACCGACATTCCCAAAATGTAGTCACGTTAAAATTAAGCAAATATCCGAGAAATGAATTTTATTTCATTTCATTTTGTTTATGCCGTTGGATAATATCAAGATGGACTCGAGCATTAAGTTTATAAAATGATAGATTATTTTGTCTGTGACGTGGGTATACGTGCGCACTCCTTTTAGGAAAGTGAATGAAGTAACATTTTAGATGAAAACTAATCAATTTCCGTTTCCGTCTACTTCATTGCCATTGACTTCCCATTAATTTCTAAAACACATATGGGACGTTCCATATCAACCCGGCCACCCCCTTTTTTGATTTTTTTTGTATGTGGACAGTACCACATTGATTGCAAAGCCCCTTGCTTCCAATATTTTACCTCATACCCATTTTTTCAATGTTACCACTCTTTCGCCGTATAATCGCGTTAAAAAGAAAACACAAAATAATTTTTATCCTGCGAACGAAAGCCACAATCAGCATAGTTCAAAAGCAGAAAAACCTGTCTTTCCATAGCCGATTACGAGAAAAAAAATAGATTTTATTGGACCATAGATGACCAAGCGATAGCGTTTTTAAAGTCTAAAAGTAGGATTTCGTCTAAAGGGCCAGTCTGCAAAAATACCATTATATTTTTCTCAAAACGCACGAGTTTTAACGGATTTTATGCCACTGGTTTCAAAGTGGGATCTCTCTTGAGGAATTAGCTATGAATTCTTTTCATTGATTTGTTAATTTTTTCCAAAGCATATATGATTATTTTATATTACTTATTAGCTTTTTCTGACAGTTAACTACTACAAAAACGTACAAAAGAATTCATAGCTAATTCCTCAAGAGAGATCCCACTTTGAAATCAGTGGCATAAAATCCGTTAAATATGGGGCTTTCTGAGAAAAATATAATGGTATTTTTGCAGACTGGCCCTTTGGACGAAATCCCACTTTTAGACTTTAAAAACGCTATCGCTTGGTCATCTATGGTCCAATAAAATCTATTTTTTTTCTCGTAATCGGCTATGGAAAGACAGGTTTTTCTGATTTCGAACCATGCCAATTGTTTCTTCCGTTCGCAGGATAAAAATTATTTTGTGTTTTCTTTTTAACGCGATTATACGGCGAAAGAGTGGTAACATAAAAAAAATGGGTATGAGGTAAAATATTGGAGGCAAGGGGCTTTGCAATCAATGTGGTACTGTCCACATAGAAATTTAAAAAAAAAGGGGGGTGGCCGGGTTGATATGGAGCGTCCCATATTTAATAATTTTCTGATTTGAACAAGTTTAGGTTAGTTTTTAGGTACTAACAAAATAAATAAATTTCAATCATCCTTTTCATTTTTCACGACAATCTGCAAACTTATCATCAAGTGATCCTGACCACGATTGAAAAATTCCATTTACTCTACGTGCAAATTGTATGCAAATTACTTATGCGCAGTGTTGGTTTTATGGTAGCAGTCCCTGATTTCGTGAGACCTATATTTTTGTAGCTCACCAAATCTTTGAATCTGTAAAAATCGGTAAGTTTTAAAACATAACTATACCTTTCGTCATTCAATAAAGTTTTTGCTTTATACTCTGTATTCCCAATTAATCGTATTAAGACTCGAGCTAAGGAAGTTCGAGTTGTGGAAAACAAGGAGTTATGTTGCATACAAATTTTTTTTTTATTTAAAATGGCTAAAAACAAATAGTTTGATTATTTGTAGTTTTTCCAGGGATAGCATCTTCACATCTTTGCATTCTCATCCGCGCTTGTGGGTCACGATCACAACGGTCTTGTGGCACCTCTTCGGGTTCTTGCACTTCTTCTTGGGGATGCGGGTGTGGCACCAGTTGTTGCCCCTCCAACAGAGCTTCTTGTGGGTGGAAGAGGCGGTTGTTGTGGTGGTTGATGCCGCAGTGGTTGTCGTTGTTGTTGTCGTAGCAGCCGTTGTAGTTGTTGTTGTGCCAGATGCCGAATAGGCCAACTGAACGGCCAAGGCGATAAGAGCAACCACGAAAAGGAACTTCATTTTTACTTTGGCTGGGAGCTTAGAAAAACGTTATTTTAAATGGTTTTAGACCTTATCGAGGTATGGTAATGGAGTGTTCTGATTGATTTCTGTAAGAACTGGCTTTTTTATAGCGAAAAGTCGAGTTCCACACTATCCAAATGATTTCTTCACTTAATGTTATCTATACAGAATAGGTAAATATTAGCTAAGTTTTAAAACAGCTGCTAGCACACGCGACTAACCCACTCGTTACGAGATTCAATATTTGGTCATGCTGCTGAAAGACCAATTATTAAATGATCTATTATTTTTGGAGTCTTGTGTTTTAGTATTGTATTATATTTGATTTATGTGAACTAATGGTTTGTGTATTCGCTAGCAAGTAAAGTAAAGTAAATGTAAACTTTGCCTTACAGTAATTTGTTAATTAAGGATGTCCCGGAAGGGAGCAACTCTGCCAGGACCTCATCCACATGGTTCGCAACCTCGAGCGCAGGATCCGCCAGTGCGTCTGCGGCCGAAAGGATTGGATGTTGTAAAGGATCAATAATCGTACACTGCTGTTATCATTGATGATATTTCACCAAATCTATTTGGTGGGGACGTTTACCCAGGACTTGTTATAATTATTGCAAATATTTACCATGCATCTTTTTTTATAGTTTTAAAATAAAGGGAATAATATTCCCATTTAGATCTTCCCTCAAGCAGATGAACATAAAATATCCTATCTCTCTCCGAATAATGGAGATAAAAAGCAGAAAAATAGATTTTCTTTCACCATTTCCTTGACTCTAAATTAGAATTCAGTGTGGAGTTTCTCCGCCTCTTATGTTATGACTTGGTCAATGGATCAGCTGACTGGTGGTTCGGGCCTGAACTTCGGTTTGGGCCCGGCTCGATTCGGCGGCATTAGCGATCCGCTTGCCACTCGAGCGACGTCGCTTGTCGCTGGTGGACGCGCTTCGGCGGATTGCGATTAATATTTATTGATTCGGTGCCTTATAATACAAATCGGTTTGAGTGTTTGTGATAATTAACTGCCCAAGTGGCGAATAAAAATCAAATAAATCGACAAACTTTTAAGGATCAAACAGAAACGGCTGCAATGTGCAATATATAATTGGTGGGTGTAGTAAATCTACAGTGGTTTAAGCTTTCTGAATGTGTGTGTTGTGTATCTGATGTCGAGATAAAAGTGCTCGCTGCCTTCAAATTGTCAATTCCTGGTTAATGGCTTTGCAATCTTAAGAATCGGCTCTTTTGTTTTGGCCTCCGCGGCCTGCAGTGAGTAGTGCATCGAATCGAATCGAATCGAATGGAATTGAATAATATGGATATGGATGCGCGGCACCGCTAAATGACTAAAAACGCTCTCTCATGTAGATGTCTATCTCGGGTGGGCAAGGCATTTAAGCCTTCAAGGGGACTAATCGCCGGCAGACAATCGTCGGCGGCCAAGGAACTGGGCTTAATTGGTGGGACCACCCATGCCCATTCCTTTGGCCCTTTGACAAGATTGGGCCATTGTACTTGGACGGCGCGGGGGATCAACTTATTTGTCCACCTCGGTAACCGGAGAGGCCACAGATTTCGCCACTAATCCAGCTGGGATCTCTCGGGGAACTGGCAGTGCCACCCGCATGCTCGCATGCCAAATATCGATCCCTATCGAGTCATATGCAGCACATGTATGCAAAGTGTTCCAGCGAACTCGTCAGTTGGCAGTCTTTTGGCCAAGACATACACTCGAAAAAAAAGTTTGACAAGCTCTTTAAATTCGCATATTTTGTTTGATTTTTAATCTTTAACTCTTACCTAATATCTACCTTTTTTTCAAAAACCATCCATATTTTTCACAAATTTTATAAATTTTATAGAACATTTATTTTTAAAAACTAAAATAATATTAATATGATCTTTTAATGGTTTTTAAAAATCTATAATTTCATTCTGGAAAAACAAATTAATTTTTTATGATCTATTAATTATTCTTAATAATTAAACAATTTTTTCATATTATTTAAATGTTATGAGTATTGAAAATATCTCAAAACAAAAGTTAAAAAAATAGTTTGGCTACATTTATCTATATTTAATTACAAAATTCTATTAAATCAATAATTTTACCATAAAAAATGCTTATTTAAAGCTGATTTTTCAAAATTCATGGAACGAGTATTCCGCGGTGAAGAACAAGACATAGACGCAGACAAGTGCAATTGCAATTGCCAAAGGGCCTGGCGCCGAAACCTGACCTCCGATCGGGTGTTAACCTTTCAAGGTGGTCAAAGGCCCCTTTTCTGGCAATTCGCCTCGATTTTTGCTGAGTGGCTGAGTGGGGTGAATGAGTCACGAGTCAGGCATTTCCTCCAGTTTCAGTTTGCGCGCTCAACTCTTCTTGTCTTTCCAGCTGTCTTAGGGGAAGACCATAGAAGCGGAATGGAGTCCAGCAGCAGTGTCGTGGCGGAGATGGATACCTCCAGTCCAGGTGATCACGGCCAGCCCACCCAGATCACCTCCATCGATGGCTTCTTCAATCGAAAGCGGGGTCGTCCGCCAAAGAATCGCTTTGTGGAGGTCTACAAGAGCGTAAGTATCGGAATCTCGGAACCCTAAAGGAACCCTTTTATTATGTTTTTAGTTAACAGAATTATTTTTCAATTTATTTTGTGCATTTAATAAAATAAATTATTCATTTCCTATTAAAAAAAACCTATTTTTACCAGGAATAATCCTAAAATATATTATTTATTTCTACAGTATACGATTCTTAATTTTTTGAGGGATACAATAGTAAAATAGTGACCGTGTTATTGCTTCTTAAAATTAATTTCCCCGCATTTCTTTCACCTATTCAATATTTATGCCATTTTCACAATTTTCCGATTTATTTACGAGGTTCTCGTGGAAATATTTGAGGTCTGATTCGACCCAGTTGCTTGGTTCCTTTTCGGTCTGTCTGCGACCCGATCGAGGCTCGATCGTAATTAGGAATTTGCGCCTATTTGTGTGCAACGTCGGCCATTCAGAGCCCTGCCCCGCCCACCGCCCACCGCCCCCTAATCGCCCACCGATCGGGGGAGCCTAATGCGGCATTTTGTGTGCTGTGCGTTGAATTGAGTTTTCGGATTTGGTTTTTGCCATATTCGTCATATTAATATTGACAACGAGTGTTTCCGCATTTATTTCATTTGCCCGTCTAGCGTCGTCGACGGCACTTCTCTTGGCACTCCACCACCTTCCTCACCAGCCCCTATGCCTCCACCTCCCCCTTTTCGCCATCCCCGCCACCGCCGACGCCCTTCCCCTGGCGACGAGCGTTTTGTGCTTTTAACTGTCATTTTCATAATTTCTACATTTTTTCGAGCCAAGCTCATGCACACGCACCACATCGCACTTGTGTGTTTACGATTACCCAGCCCACGCGTCACTGTAAACATGGCCAGTACACTGAGAAAAAGTTTTACTTAGTTTCTGTAATTTCAAAATAATAGTAAAAAAAATACTCTGGAAAATACCTTGAGATAATCCTAATTTTATGTGTTCCAGTTCCAAAGAAAGATAAATATTTTAAGGTTCCCTTAACATTGCGGAGTCTTTAAAATATTTGGAAATTAATTATTTTATTGTGGTTTTGAAATATTTAATATATAGTAAAGTTTGAGATTAAAACTGAGGCGTTAGTAATAATAAAAACAAGTTGCTTTTGACTTTTTAAATAAATATATATATTTGTTTTTATAATTTTTCCTTTTCAAGTTATTTTTACTTATATTCGGTACCGAAAGTTGAAATATATAATTTGATTGTAGGTAATTCCCAGCCAATTTTATAATCAGTCATAATATCAACGTTTTCTGATCTAAATACTAATTGAACAGCTTCAAGTCTCAAATTATAACCAAAAAATATACATATCAAATAGTTTTTCTCCGTGTACTATCTCTGTGAATAAAAAATCAAATTTGAATAAATATTTTGTCCATTGCCATTTGCGGCATTCTTTTGGGAAGTAAGCCGGGCCAACTCCGCGGCTTGGAGGGGGGAAGGGTGACCCAAATTGATCGCAGGAACCAAGGTGGTGCACTGGGTGGATCTCCTCTCACTCCACCACCCACCCGATCCCATGGAACCCCTTCGATAATCCCAAATGGCGATGGAAAGGAACGATACACAGCACTAACAATAGCAATAATAATAATAATAATTCCTATACACACTTGTAGCGTATTTAATCAAATAAGGTGTGTGCTTATGTGTGTGAGCCACAACTTATCAGGTAAAGGCAAACTCGTTTCATTGTCTTTCAATATTTTCGGTGTAATTATTGTTAAAAGTAAATATGAGAGCGTCATATACTCTGCAGTAAGTGAAACTATTTCTTTTTCGAAAAAACAGACTTATTTATATTAGTTTAAGTTAATTTTAGTATTTCCTTGTTTTGGTAAACATTTCTTAATTTTATTTTGGTATGTTTTGAAGTCTATTTATATGGTTTCCATTTTCCATAATGTACATTATAATTTTTTTTTATTTTTCATATTTGGTGAAAATTATTTGGCTACCATTTTTGTAATCCCATTTTTGGTTTCCTTTAGGGTATTCACGAGTTGCACTTGTATTTAAAAATTTCAATGGTTTCTCCTTTGTTTTTGCTTTTGGCTTTTTCACTTCACTTCACTTGTTCTTTCTCTCTATTTTTTCGTTTTATTATTGATTTGAGGCGTGAACAAAATTTAAATAGTGACATTTTGGGCCAACGACAAACATTAACAGTAATTTCGGAAATACGAGTAATAAACTGGTTGCGGCCGATTGTTTGTCATAAATCCAAAATGTAAATTCCGAAAACTATGACAATGACAACGGCAGCGCAAGTACGGCCCTGCCATGCCAAAGTGATTTAATTCCATGAAAGGCGCCCACATTGCTGCGTGGAATACTGGAGATAGATTTCGATTGTCAACAAATACAGAAATATAATATATTTTTTCTATTTTTGGTTGTATATACAGGCCCAGCACTCGCCGCAGGCCATCTTCACCAGCTTCAAGCTGGAGAGAAGCGATCACTCCGGTCACGGAGCACCTGTTTCTAGTGGGTCAATGGTGGATAATGCGGAGGATCGTTTGTCTCTGGCCGATCACGATGGATCAGCCACTGATCTCACACCTAGTCGGAACCGGAAGAGGGGTCGTGTTTGGGCCCCATCATCATCATCTTTCGCCTTGGAGCAGTCGAACAGGAAAAGCTCTGTTCATGTCGCCACTTTGGCAGCCAGGAGTGAGACGCTGTCTCGGAGTAGCCGCAATGAGTCTTTAGCCCAGGTAAAATTCTGTTTCCAAAACGATGAAAAATTATACATGATCTACAAAAAACAAATTAACGTAGACCCCTATTAAAAGTCTTTAAATTTTTTTTAATTACTCAATTCTTATTATTTCTTAAGCTCTTATACTTATATATTTATTTTATATATTTTTCAGCCCACTTTACAGCCCACAGAAACTTTAGAAACAGTATCTTCAAAGATCCTACCAAGCAGAGCTCTGGACAAAGTTTCTGGTAAGTTAAATTTCCTGAAAGTATTATTTGACATACTAAAATAATAAAAAATTCTTTAAAAAAAATATTGAAATATTAAATATTAATATATATTATTATATATTAATATAATATTCCTAATATAAGTATTAAATATTTATTTACTTTACCGATTAATAAACTACTGACCTTATTCTGCATTGTTTTTTCTTTCCCAAATAAAGTTGTTCGTGCGGCGGGCACTTTTTACCCGGAGAATGCGAATTCAGCTGGGCAACAGGAAGTGTCGGAAGTGGGTGCCTCGAGTTATAGAAATCGCCAGGAAGCGGCCAACTTGGATGTGGACCAGCCGGAGGATCTGAGCATGCGTCCGTCGCTTCCCGAGGCAAATGCGGCGGCAGCGGAAGTGGGACCAGCTCTGAATATGAATCTGCTGCAGTTCAAGCAGCTGATCGATTTGTACCAGCGACAGGTGCTATTGCCCAGCTTCCTGGCGGCAGCCAGTCAACCTTTGGCCACCGGGTTGCCGGTAGGATCGGTATCAGGATCAGGAGGAGCAGGAGTAACTGGACCCCTTCTGGACATGCGACTTTTGCTGGAGAATGCCGCCCATCAGAAGCTGTTGCTCCTAAATGCCGCTGCTAGTGCAACAGCAAGTGCGGTGGCAGCTTCGACTGCGGACTCCGGCCATCGGACTCCGGTGAAAAGGGTCCGTGATCATGACATTCCCACCGGCTACCTTAAATTCCGTTTCAACGAGGACTGCGGCTTCGAGCGATGCGGCTACCGGAATCACCAGTCGCACTTCCACTGCAATCGCCGGGACTGTCACTACAGTTTCTGCGACAAGACGCGATTCGTGCAACATACGGCGCGACACGAGCGAATGGACACTCTCATGGGCGACGACTTCCGCCAGTTTCGGGCCAACATGCAATGCGGAGTGGCCAGCTGTTCTTACGCTTCAGCCACGGAGTCCAGCCACCAAAATCGGATAGGTAAGTCATTAATTTGATGGCTAAAATGTTTGTAAACAAAAAAAAATGCGACTGCTTGCACTGCTTGCATTCCATTATCGAGTATTACTATAAATTTGCTCATAACTTTGTAATGAATAGTCGGATTTTAAAAATTTCTTCACATTTCGATAGGTATTAATTAACACAAAACAGTGACATTTACACTTTTACTCTACGAGTAACAGGTATACAAAAATATATCTAAGAAATTGATGGGAAAATTTGTTTATCCATAAAAGAAAGTCATCAGCTCTCTATCAGTTATTTATAGACTGCAAATCCAAGCTTCATTAGATGGGATTTTATCTCTTTCCAAATATCAAAATAATTTTAAATTCCTAATAATAATTTATCTAATTCTTCTGTAGATCCCACCGAGTCGGGCACGGCGTCCTCCCGGAAGACGTCGCACTTCCACTGCCGCAAGTGCGACTACGTGTGCACGGACTCCAACAAGGTGGTGGCCCACCGGAGACTGCACCTTCGCCAGGATTACGTGCGGAGTGCGGGATTCCGCAAGGTGGGCGGAAACGAGCCATGCGATTCGCCGGGCTGCTCGTACGCCCAGCGGCACACCCACTACCACTGCGACACCTGCGACGGCGGCGTCCTTTCGCGGGCCCAACTGGCGGCCCACAAGCACCGGACAGCGTTTCCCAAACCGGATGCGGTGACCACTCCCTAGAATATCCTAGAATATCGTCTGAAAATACCCAAGGAAGTCCGTCAACTAAACTAAATAAATAAATGAATGCAATGACTTTGACTAGTTCTATTCCGTCTTTAAAGACCCATTTTGTAAACGACCTTGAATAATATTTTTTTAAGATTATATTTATTTCTTCTTAACTCTTCTCTCTCTCTGTCTCTCGAATTTCTGCAAACGTGACTTCCATAAGGTGGAAAATAGTAATTTTATTAATGGATGATCATGATCACTTTTTTCCTCGCTGAGAAAATCCATATCTTAAATTAGTAATATCTAAAATAGTAAATAAGGCAAAGTAATTCATAAGCTCCCTATGAATTCGATATAGTTATTTTAAAAGTCCAGGCATAGTCAAGTCCTCGCTTATCGATGTGATTTTTCGGCGGGAACTCGATGTGCAATCTGTTATGATCCGCAGTCCACTGAAGATATAAAAAGTATGATATTATATATCACAACTGTTACTTAAAAACTGTTTTACCTTAATTTTGGTGTCACCCATGCCCAACATTACAACCTGGGTGTTCCGTTCATTCAGGATCTCTCCACCGGTGCCGAAATCAATTCCGGTCAGATAGATATTGCGGAAGACATTGATCTCCTTGCCCAGTGGATAGATATCCAGCTCATTGGTGTCGTACGGATACTCCAGCACAAATGCGTATACAGTGACGATTCCATTGGGCGCATACTCTCCTCGCGTATACCAAACATTGGCAGTGATGGTGTCGTTCTGGTAAACCCAGGGTAGACTGCCGTAAATGCCCTCGCCATTGATCTTCAGCCAGCGACCCATGTCCCTTAGGCGCTCCTCGAAAATCGGCAGTATAGTGCCGTATTTGGTTGGGCCCACATTGATCAGCACATTGCCATTGCAGCTGACTGTGGTGACGATTTCTAGAAGATATGAGATTGGAATTAGATTTATTTTTTTATAATTATTACACCCACCTTTAATGACATCCTTGGAGGTCATAAAATCGGCCAATGAGACATCGAATCTCTGACCCCAGCTGCTGCGATCAAGGGTGAAGGCATTTTCCCACTTGTGCCCTTGCAAAACTCCGGGATTGAAGCGGTCGGCGCAATTGTAAAAGTCGCCGTGCATGCAGGCGGTGCCAAAGCCCCAGCGATCATTCGTCACCACCGTGTCCCTCACAGGACTGTCGTTGTACAGCCAGGCGATGAACTCCTCGGAGCGCCAGTACTTGGCCGGGGCCTCCCAGTCGCCGTCGGACCAGATTATCTCCGGCAGATACTCCTGCACCAGCTCCATTTGCTCCGGCCGAACCTTACGCTCCACGAAGTGCTGCTGCATCAATAGATGCAGTTTATCGTCCGTCCACAGCGGGTTGAACCACTCGAACAGAGAGTAGTAGAGCCCGAACTTCAGATTCGACTCCTTGCGAACGGCGGCAGCAAGTTCCTCTGAAAGGGAAGAATGATAAGTAAAATAAATAAAAATATATTTAGTTATTAAATAAACATTTAATTGTAGTACATAGTACAAAAAAAAGGTAAGCAAATAAAAAAAAATATATTGAAAGACGTTCCACTTTAATTTCATACAAATCACGAAAAGTGTGTCATATAAGAAATATACTCTTAAACATAATAAATCATATTAAATTAATATAATGTTTTTTTCTCATCTTTGTTTCCTTTGTTTTTCTGAGACTATCTACACGATCTATATTTTATGATCCACTTACTCATTATTCTAAATGATAATAATAATATTGTTTTTTGAGTCTATCTATACGATCCACTTACTAACTATTCTATATGATAATATTAATATTATTTTTCTGAGACTATCTATTCGATCTATATCTTACGATCCACTTACTCACTATATCCCGCTTGGGTCCCACATCCATGGAATTCCATCCGAAACTGTTCTTCGAGGGCCACAGCGTGAAGCCGTCGTGATGCTTGCTGGTCAGCACTACATATCTGGCAGATGATAGATGAGAATTAATGATCCGAGGCATTCAGAGAGATAACACCCCATGGATGTGAGTACCTGGCTCCGCTATCTCGGAAAAGTAACGCCCACTCGGTGGCATTGAATAGCTCCGCTGTGAATTGGCTGGCGAATTCCTGATAAGTGAAGTCGGGCTTGTAATTGCGTTGCATAAATTGGACGTAGCCTGGATTGCGGAGGTCTGAAAGGGAATGTGTATTATTATTTAACATTTCTGACTATTATTTTAATTTTTAAAAATTATTATGTTAATTTCTCTTACTTTTCCAGTTAGTCCAGAACCACTCGGATCCAAAACTGGGCACAGAGTACACGCCGTAGTGCAGGAAGATGCCCACCTTCGCTTCGTCGTACCACCGGGGCAGGGGTCTCTGGTCCAGACTATTCCAATCGGGTTGGTATCTGGTCCGTGAGCCCAGCACCTGTGCCTCGACCTCCTCTCCAGATCGCCATGCGATCAGCGCCACCAGAAGCGTCCAAGCGGAGATTGCCATTTCCTCAATTAGCCGGCGATCTGATTTTTCGCCTACTCTGAAGCGACTGCCTCGCTTCGTGATCCAAACACAACTGAGAACTGTTTGCGGAGAACGATATTCTCTCAGAAAATCTGGCTTCCAGTAAAACGAATTTACTTTTGTGTTTTAGGATCACTTCAATACACAGTGATAAACCAGAAGGTACACTAAAAAAAGTTACAGGGTATTTAATTATTAAAACATAACGAAAACAATATAAAATAAAGAGTTAGTAATAAACAAAGTTTAATAATTTTAAGCCCAATTGCATTAAAATATTTACTTGGCAACAATTATAATAATTTTCAAAAAATCACCAAATAATTTCGTTTTTCTCCAAGTGATTTAAATATTTTGTGAATGCCAAAATGATAAGAAATGAAATTATTGTTCGGTGGCGATTTGTTTATCAGCATTTCTAATTTGCATGCAAACAATATTTATTTGGGAATATTCACAATAACAAGATACACATATTTGAAAGTATTATCTCAATTTATTTATGTATACAAATTTAAAAGTTTCTAAGGAGATAATTTCTTTTTATTTGCCTGGTATTGTGTTTCGTTTTGTGTTGTTTTTAGGAGCAGACATTAAAACAGTTGTTTTTTATGAATTTTTTTTATTTACCTCTCACTTGAAAAAAATGTGGGCATATTCGGTGGCCTGCTTGGTTTTTAAATAAAGCTAAAAAATTACCTCAGCTTGGCTGTTAATTCCAATTCTAAATCAGTAAGTACATCAAGTAAAATGCTCTTAAATTTTGTACTAAATATATTTCGGATGCGAAACAATATGAATATATATATCCGAGATCAGATGTCGCAGTGTGCTGACCAGGCGCGGAATCGTCGGCTGGAACGTGGAGACGAGTAGTGCGAGGTTAGGGAAGTGGTTGTAGGTTCATCACGAATCAAAGTTCCTCCCAGGGTAACTATACGCCGCGATTCGGAAAGAAGTGGTGTCTGCTCCGTGGGCGATCCTATCTTCAGCTGGAGCTCCTCTTTGGCCAGAACGCAATTCCTTGCGATTTCGTACATACGCTCGTACTTCTCGCCCAGACTTAAAAAGCTCGACCTGCCGGGTCCCTCGTAGAACTCCTTTGGCGTGAGCTTGCCAAAATCAATAAGGGCCAGTAGCTCGCCCACATAGTTTGGCTTCTTATCCTCCTGGGCTTGGACAGCGGAACTGCATCCAATCTGCAGCAATAAATCGGGATTATCCACATCATTGGTACTCCCAGACTCTAATACACTTGCAACCTGGGTCCCGACTTCAGTTCCTTCGTGGCCGTTGTACTTCAGATACATTTCCAGGAGACGGAAACGATCGGCCTCGGATAGTTTACCGGCAATCACTTCGATATAGTGCTTAAAGACCTCCCAGCTAAGTTCGTAGACGCCCGAGTGGTCCAAAGTGCTCTTAAAGGTGATCTTAAGCTCCCAGGCCATCTGGTCGATGAGTGATTTCCTATTCATGCGATGGGCGCACTGAAACAGGCGAAGTAACTCCCCCATATCGTAGGTGTCCTTGCGCACCATTAGCTCCCTGACACAGTCCTCCTCGAGGGACTGCACCAGATATTTGTTGCCAAACTCGCAGAGTCCAATCAGAGTATCAAAGTCATACTTTTGCAGCTTGTCGTACTCATAGCCGTAGATGTAGTCCCGGAACTTTTCGAAAATATTCGGACTCACATCGGTGAGTCGCACAACTCCACTGGTGCCCTCACTATAGTCGCCATAAAGCATTCGATCGAAGACATCGGAGGCGCAGCTAAAGATCAGTTTGTGGCACTCAAAGGATTTGCTAGTACCGCTCTCCTGTTCGATGATAAAGCTGCAGTCCGTGTGGCGATTGGTACGACCGAGCTCAACGAGGGATCCACGCAACCTGGTATTCAGGGATGTAATTGATATACTACTACAATGCGTCAGAGTATTATCTCACCTGGTAGTCATCTTAAGTCCCTCTGATTTCGAACAGTGAATTTTGCTTGTAAAAAGTATTCCTTAGAGATGTTGAAAGAGGTGAACTAACTGTATGACTGTTTTCTGATTTATAATGCTGTGAAAAATGATATTGTTTCCCAAAACTTGAAAACTGGGGATCCTTCACCCATTATCCTGTAATACCCATCATACCCACAAATAAAACATCGCATCTCAATTGAACATAACAGTTTATTTTATTATCTTCTCTCATAATTTCGCCTTGCATTTATTTGCTTATTTGCTGACTTAAAAGGTTTGTCTTTGCATTCAATTTCATTTCCACCTGTATTTTATTAATAACTCACATACCTACATATAAATACATGTATCTTTAGCCGTGTTTTTGGTTTTTCCTTAGTTCATTGCATCGCATTCAAAGTTCAACAGATCGAAAGTGTGTGTTCTTTAGGAGTATAGTGTGTTTTTTGTAGCTTAGGCCTGGACAGAAGTTCAGTGAAACTGGAGTGGATCAAGTTGCAATTATCTACATCGGGACAGGTTAACGGTTAACCACAAAACTGGCCTCTAATATTCTACTTCGAACTCATCTGTCTCTAAAGTAAGTTTCCTTCATTGCCATTTGTTTTCGCTATGGATTATAAACACAACACAATACAGTACAACATACAAGTCCCTTCTGTTTATTTGGGCAGAAATCCGAAGCATAAATCTTGTGTGTTCCCTATATTTATAATTAAGTGTTTCCAATCATTGCAAACTTTGTTTAAAATTGCCATACTTTAACAACGTGTGGATCCCATTTGAGTGTGGGCTGTATTTACCTGTGAGTGGGTGAAGTGTGGTACGTAAGTTGTGAAATATTCGGTGCATACCGGTAGGCGCCTGAAGTAATGTTTTCGGTGCATACTTTCAGGCTGTGCAAAATACACTGCAAGAAATAAATTCTTGATGCTATTTTAAAACTGCGTTTTGTCGCCTAGTAGAAATATATGTGGCTATGTTCCTGAACAATTGAACCAGTTTTACGCTCTATTTTAAAATGTGACTGCTTAGGTTAGTGCGAAAACCGAAACTTTGGACAAGTACGTTTGCATCATAGGGGATTACAAAATCAAGTTATAAACCTTTAAATATAACAATTAACGCATTAAATCTTACAAAAATACCTGATTAGAACCCAATATAATAATTAGGAAAATTCAAAGATTCAAATCACTAAAAATCTACATTTCGAAACATCTATAAAAATTAAATGTATTGTATATTTGCTGAGAAATAAATAAGTTTGGCTTGAAATAAAGAAAACAAACTTTAAAAGTTCTAACACTAAAAAGTAAACTTCCTTTTTGCTGTATAATCTTTGCTAAAAGTGACGTTTTTTCCATTCTCGGAGTAGTTCAAAACTCTTTATTATGGTTGCCTTGTAGGCGTTGACTTTGCATTTGCACTCAGGCTTCAGTCAGGACATTTTATTTGTTGTAGAAGAGGAAGGTTAAAATACGTGTAAAGCATAAGCACGCGACAACTCTAAACTCTACGCTCTTGCAGCTCCGCCTCCTCTTTTTTTTGTCTTTCTATACAATAAGTACATATCTAAATCAACGTTACGGAACTACGATGCCAACTTCGATTAGCTTTTCAATAATTTTGTAGCTTGTGTGTCATTTATGTAATGTCTGCTTGTTGCTTGCAATTAGCTCTTTTGCATTTTAATGTTTTCTCTTTTTTTTTGTTTTATTATTTTTACAATATTTTCAACTTTAGGATCATAGAAGTAACATTAAATAACATTTTTGCGTAAATCTAGTATTTCTAATGTTTTTTGTTGTTGCTGTTGCTGCTGCTGCTGCTGCTGCTCTTTTCGGTTGCTACTGCTCCACTATGCCGTGGTGGTTGAGGACGCTGCTGCAGTGGCTCCGCCGGTGGCTACCCCTGTCCCATTGCCACCACCGCCTGCTGCATTGCACTGAATGAGCCCACTGTGCTGATGCTGCTGCTGCTGCGCCGCATGGTGGTGGCCATGGTGGGCATGGTGGTGATGATGGTGGTGATGGTTCAAGTGATTCAGATTATGATTATTGTTATTATTGTTGCTAAAGTTTAAATGTAGTGCGCCCGCGCCGTTGTTCAAGGCGGCTGCCTCGCCCCCGCCAGCTGCCCCACCCCCCTGAGGAACCGCCGATGTGCAGTAACGCGTTGTATCACCAAATTCGCCGCTGGTCAGGTCACCCAGTATGCCGCCCAGCAGTCCGCTGCTGCCCGCCGGCTTGCAGCCCGCTCCCGCCTCCGGTTGCGTGCAGATGGGCGGCGCCACCGCATCGCCATCGATTAGGGAGACGGAGGCGGAGGTGCTGCCGTTGTTACTTTGTGAATTGACGTGCAACGCCTCCGCCGAGGAGTTGCTGTTGCTGCTGCTGTTGTGGTGTTGCTGCTGCTGTTGCTGCTGCTGCTGGTGAAGCTGCTGCTGATGCTGCAGTTCGCCGGAGGAGTGCTCGTGCACCGACGACGACGAGGAGGTGGCATCCTGACATCCCGAACCACCTGTGTCGTCCGTCAGCCGCAGGGCCACCTCAAGGTCGCGCAGCACGTCCGTCTCCTTCTCGTCGATCAAATTGAAGCGCCTGTGCAGGGCGGTGAGGTGCGCGAACGTCAGATTTAGATGGGTGTGCAAGCCGAGCAGCGCGATTTCTCGGAAATGCGCCGCATACAGATGCGCTATCACATGAAATTGCAAGCGTAGTATCTTCCGCGCGATCGACTCGAACGAGCCGGGGAACTCGTTGGCGTATTTGGTTGGGAATATCGACTCATCGCTGACCGTCTTCTGGGTGAACGTCATCACATAGTCGATGTACTGTGGAGCAGCGACGCGCGTCTTCTTGCCCTTCTCGTCGAACCATAAGTACGTTCTATTTGGGAGGATGAAATACCATTAGTTGGGGGTTTAAATATAATAAAACAAAATTAAAACTCACCTGTTGCCGGGTCCGGTCATATCGGCGCAACCGGATTGTGTACAAAATTCACTAATAGTTCCATAAACCAAATTCACGTGCTCGAATAGAGCGAGGGCTGAAAATGAAGGGAAGAATTTTATTAGAATTTTCTATCATTTCAAAGATTAATAATATCATAGATCTAAAAAAAAAATTGGTAAAATTAACCAAGTTAATTGTCTAATAATCCTCAACCACACAAATTGTCAATTCTACCAATCAAATAGTTACTTTCACAACAAAAAATACACACAATTAGCAAAGACATACACCTATTTACTTGGCAGAATTGACAATTTTTATGGTTTGGGACTGTTTGACAATAAACTTGGTTAATTTTACCAAGTTCTTTTTTTGTGTGTACAAATCATTCCCAAGACCCTAAAACTAAAATTGTAGATCAACAACCTGCTAAATAATTGCCACAGCTGGTGCACAGATAACTTTCAAAGCAGAAGCTATCTTATCATCGACAAGGGATTGGTTTCTTTCAGTGTCTGCTGCTCAGAGATAAGCACACGATGATGTTTATTGAGCGGAACCACCCGGTAAGGTCAATGCCGACTCAATATTTGCACAAGTGTCCTCATTACGTCAGTCGGTCGGTCGCCTGCATTATGAAATGCTAGCAAAAGTGGAGCAAAACAAACCAATGGCTTAGGCTCAACTCGCTTTTCTCAGCCCAATTTCAATCCCAAGATAAGATGTGTGTGTGGTGTGAGCAGAGGAGTCAAGAGGGAGAAGGTCTCTGAAGTCAGCAATTTCAAATATTAAATTTGCATATGAACTTGCAGCTGACTAGGGTTGTTAAAAAAATCGATAGCACTATCGATACTATCGATGGTTTAAATATTTAGGAAACATCGATTGTTTGAACCCACAATCGATACTATCGCTCCAAAAAAATAATTGAATTTTACATGCAACTTTTGGTATATTTTAAGGAAAAATAAGTATTTCAAAGTATATACTAAAGAACACGACGGTATTTTAATTGTTAAGGCTCAACATCGAATTTTGTTTCACTTTAATCGCTGTAAAAGTTAGACCGTTCTTTTCCCCCTAATTTTTAAAGGTCAACCACTCATTTTCCATAATTTCTTTTTCATAATTTTCCTTTATTTTAACAATTTTTTTATATTTTCTTTAATTGTTGATACTATCGATAGTATCGATAGTGAGCACCATCGATAGCCAAAAACATCGATGGTGTCCACTATCGATTTTTTAACAACCCTACAGCTGACGCCATCGGGCGACGTGAAATGACCCTGATCATCGCCCACGACAAACAGTTTGGCTTTGATTGTTTTTCCAAAAGCGAAGGGAAGATAATGAAGACGATGGAGGAGGAGCAGGAGGAGGAGGAGGAGAAAGAGGAGGATGCCCCGGGCACTTTTGGTGGCCACAATTTGCTGATACATTGCCAATTATTTGCCTCATTTGAGTCAACAAAGAACTGTGTAATTTGCATTCTGCCACCCAGCAAACAGATTATTTACAAGATGATGTAATTTCTCAAAATCGATTCGGTTCTCCTCCAATGATGTAACCAAAAGTGCTCCTCCCGGCGGAGGAGCAGCCAAGTAATTAAGATGTGACTCACAGAAAATTGGCTTAGGATTATATTAAATGTTTAATAGAATTTAATTAAAGTACGGCGTGGATAATTCATTGAATAAGAAAAGAAATAGGGTTAAATACTCTTAAAAAATAGAACTAAAAAGGTTATTTATTAGTTTAAATTGTCTTTAAATCCTTTTATATTCTTTAAAGAATTTCCCTAGCTTTTAAATATACAAAGAACATTTCTCAAACATTTTTGGGTACCCTTGCACTCCTTAAACTGCAATTAGATAATGCTATCGCCCAGACAGAAGGCTTCTGTTCAAGTTCATCGGTTGGCCGATAATGCATGAAAAACCATCGGGATGGCTTCATAAATCGGGGCACTCAACCGGAGCCACTGAGTGCCCGGTGGCGATTAGGCTATCAAACTTTTGCCAAACAGCAGCTGACATCGCTTGGGGCCAGCCGCTCGTTAAACTCATTTGTAAATCACACGATAAAGCTGCCGACAATGGGGACAAATGACAGATGTGGGTAAATAGAGGCAATTTGGAAAGAAAATCGGAGAATCACGTGAAGTTCAAATGGGAAGGTGTGTGTGA